TAGAACTTATTATATGTTTCTATTGTATATACTTGTCGAAAAAACTTGTTTTACTACATGTGTAGCTGTTAATTTTAACATGTCTGTGGCTTTTCAGACCCCAGAAGACATGAAGGTGCTGACTGATTTTACAAGTCGTGTGCAAAAATGTGCAAGACTCAGTGAACAGGCTGAAGAGAAAGTGAAGATTTCAGAAAAAAAGTTTAGTGTCTGTTTAAGTATTTACTCATATGAAAGAAAACCCAGTCATTAAAGTTGGTGGCTTTCCTCAGACTTGAAGTAATAACCCAGCGCTGCATGTATCTGTTGATTATGCTGTCCGACATTTTTAGAGAATGAAATCACAAGTTCTAAATATGTGTAAAGAGCAGTATCAGTATCATCCTGCATTTGCTCTTGTCTCTTTCCAACTGTGAGAATGAATGAACCAGTGTGGATATGAGAGACAAGTTACAGCAGTTAGAGACTTTCAGTGGTTCCTGAGTTAACTGCTTTGCTCAGAGATAAACAGGCCGGGTTAGGAGGCACAATGAGACGACAAGCCAGACTTTCACACCTGAGCCCGGCAGTTTGTCTGGCTGTTGAGTACACACACACACACACACACACATACACGTGTCTCTCTCCTTGTTTTTTTTTTTTTTTACTCTTTTTATTTTGACCTGAAAACACAAACAGTTGCTGCACCCTTCTAACAAAACTACAAAAGGCCCAGAGACATATGCTACCAAACAGATTACTCGTGTAGGATTAGGAAGCATGTTAATCTTATTTCATGTCCGTGATCATCTTTGTTGATTTTCTCTGTACCATCGTTCAGCGTTTCCTGTTCAGTAGCTGGTTTGTGAGGTGCACATTTGCTATCAGTGAATGCAACCACATTAGAAAAAACACGTGGTACACTCATAACACACTGGTCACGGCATTGGAAACATTTTTATTTCATAGATTTGCTCTCGATCTCTCTCTCTCTCTCTCTCTCCCTCCAGAGAAAGTCTGTCTCCATTCAGATGGAAATCAGTCACCTCCTGGTCCCCGCTCCCTTTTTTGAGAGTATAATGAAGTGTTCCTACTCAGGTTCACACATTTACAACTCTGTTTGCATGACTACATAATGAAGCAGTTGTTGTTTGTCCTGGATTTGGATAGTTACCTTCTTGGAACTGTGTGCCTGAGCTTTGGCTTTCAAACGGACCTCTGCTCTGTATCTGTATATCGCCTGAAGGGAAGTATCAGTTAAGAATAGATGAAGACTGTGATGAAAGCTACATTAGAAAGTCAGTTTCCCGTAAGATACACTATTTTTTTTTTTTTATGGTAACATGAAAAATCATCTCATCAATCAATGATGAGTCTAACAAAAGACAACTTGAACTGAAGCTACTTTTGTCTCTGTGTGTAACCTGCAGATTTCTCACTCTCTGTGGGACGTAACTGCCCATCCCTGATTGATACCACAACACAGGAAATGGGAACTGTTCTGGAAATGCAAACACAGCGCACAGTAATGCCCACTTTGTGAAAGGATGCAATCAATTTGTTACCAAACCTGTTCCTGCTCTTAAAACACACACACCAGTATGAGAGCGGCGGTTTCCTGTTGTCTTCATTTATTTATTTATTTTTTAGCATAGTTGCGGTGTAACATGAGTATCAAGTAATGTGACTGACTCTCACCTGGTGGAGCACGTACCACATGAGTTTAGTCCTAACCGCGGCGGTCCAACCCTCGGCCCTTTGCTGCGAGTCATTCCCTCGCTCTCTCTCTGACTTCCTGTCTTTCTCTCACTGCACCTATCAGCATAAAGGCAAAACTGCCAACAAAAGGAATGAGACTGTTGTTTATTGATATTTTCAAATGCTACAGGTAGTAATAATAGTAGAGTAGACTCATTCATACTACAGATGCAGATCAGAGTTACAAAAATACACATAGCTGCTGTAATGAGACTTTCACAAAACAGATATTTTTTTCTGGAAATGTGTGTTTTCAGCGGAAAAGACTTAATATTACTATGTTAGCAAAGAGGAAAAAGAAATTGAGTAACACAACACAATGGAGGACAAACAGGTGTGTTTTTGAATACAGGCTTTGTAAAGCAAACAATAACAAATTGGGATGCAAATGAAAATAGCCAGGGGTGGAAATATCAGCAAGCTAGTGTCAAATACTGTGATTCTATCAACAAAACAATTTTACAACCAGAGATAATGTGAGTAGCACTATTGACATAGTGGGTGTGTGGCTGTGTGTGTGTATGTGTGTGTGTGTGTGTGTGTGTGTGTGTGTGTGTGTGTGTGTGTGGGAGGCATGAAAGTCTGTATGCTTGCAATTGACAACTTCTCAAAGAGATTGTGATGTCGAGGAGATGGCAACACAACAGCGCCGCTGAATAGGAGCGTTACACGCACAGTGTTCTTCTGTATCTGAAAAGTGCAGCTTGCATCAGTTGTCAAAGGGGCTGTTGTTGCTAAGGAAGGCTCGCCAGCCGTAGTGAGGAACAGTGAATGAACTGAAGCACAGACCTAGATATAGAGTTATACAAACATGGCAACCACACGCAACATGTAACACTCAGGAAATATTTATGATGTTACAGTCTATTTATGACACCAGGCTTGTGCAAACAGCATAAAAAACGATCCTTGATCCTGGAGGTTGGCTGTCAATACTGAACCAGTTCACTGTAGATTTTAAAACTCTGGCAACGTATGACTCAGGACTGAGGCGTTGTGAGGGAGAGAGCTTCCTTGGCAACCATTTCTGGGCTGATTGTTGTCATGTGACAAGCTGATGCAGCCAAGCGCTAAGAAAAACAGAGAGAGGGAGACAGAGGGGGAGTGTGTGTATGTGTGTGTAGCAGAGAGAGAGAGAGAGAGAGAGGGAGAGAGAGAGAGAGAGAGAGCACTGCTGATGAGTCAGAGGAGGCTGATTCAGACGTAATCCACCAACCACTCCCTCCTTCCTGTTCTCCTGCCTGCATGGCTGTTCCTGGATGTTCAGGTCAGAGCCTGGTTCCCCATAAAAATATGGCAACATAACACAACATACTGTGCATTTTATCTTGTTACAGATGAGTGAACGATCAGCAATGTTTGGCTAGCCCATACTTTCGGTTTTGTATCATCCGTTCTTAGGAACTATGACATTTCTAACTCAACCATTTTATTGATTTTTCCACATGAGATGGTGAGAAGAGTGATGACAGAAATCCCTCAAACAATATAGTGAAATGTGAGTAAGGGAGAGTCCACAATGCACTAATTGGAGATATTAGAGACTATATGTTCTTTATGGACACAACAATTTAGAGCTTCACCATGCAGAGCCAATAGGTAATAACCAATACTTTACATTTGATTCTAATTATTTTCTTAATAAGAAGACTGGCTGCAGCATTTTTAGCCATTTGCAGGTTAGTTACAGCTCCTTGACTACGGCAAGAATATAAAGAACTGCAGTAATCAGGGCGTGAGGGAACAAAAACATGACTTAGTTTTTCAGCACATTCAAAAGATCGACTACGTCTGATCTTAGAGATATTTCTTAACCGCAAAAAGCATGATTGAAGAAGCTTGTTAACATGCACGGAAAAAATTTAGATCAGAATCAAAAGCTATGCCTAAATCTTTACTGTGCATGTCTGCTTTTCACAACAGAAGATCATAATAATAGAAATTGAAATAATAGAAATTAAAGATAACATAAATAATTATATCTCAATGTCCTCTAGAAAAGAGTATATATATTAGGCTACACAATATGTAAATACTTGTTCCCATATGTTTGTATTACCATGTATCTTGTGGTTGCAAGCAATTTAAATGTATCCCCTGTGCTTGAGTTTTGGTACTGAAGATGTGCATTTTGTTATATAGCACACACTCTAATGTGCCTTCCTATCCTAGCTATTGAAACCCAGCTGTCATGTAATAACTTCAAAGTAACACAATACACAGAAGAAATCTGCGTCTATTGTTTCATAATCAAAGTCAGCCAAATCTCAAATGAAAAACACAACTATCACATATATTTGCGCAGATGGTCTCAGAGGCTGTCAGGAACAGACTTGATGCCGAAACGTATTCACCATTTTTAAAAGCTATATGATGTGGATTCTGGCCTCAATAGTTTTTGTAATGCTTTCATGATTTAGAAGAAAGTTAATGTGGAAGTTTAAGTTTTTTTCCCTTAAAGTTAGAAACAGAAATAAAGAATAATACTTAAAATGACTGTATGGTTTTAAAATTTCAGTTCGCAAGAAGTCCAAGGACCTGATTCTGGGAAAAATTGATTTCACAGTCTTAATTTATAAAGTTTCTTGGGTGTATATATTGTGATTACACAGGTCACCTGTCACCTGTAACTGTTGAGTTTTTTTTCCTTTAAGGCTGTTGTCCCCCCCGCGTATTAATGAAGTCTGAGTTTTTTTATGCTGCAGTCTTAATTATAGACAATTTTCTGAGGGTTGTGTTTAGGCATGGCAAGGCAAGTTTATCTGTATGGCACACTTCTTTGGAATATAAATGGGCCTTGAGAAGTGTTTTAAAGAGGCCAATTTAGTTGGATGATCTAGTGAAAGGTTAAGTATCCACAGTCTAGGTGCAAAGACAACAAATGCACAGTCTCTCTTCATTTTACCTCTGGCCCTGGAAACATTCAAAAGGCACATTATCTAACTGGAGAGACTGTAGTTTTCTAACCTATATAAGCACAAAAATTCAGAGACTGACACAAGGGGAATTCAGAGTGCTTCACATAATGTATTAAAACATATAAAAGAAAAGATAGATAGATAGATAGATAGATAGATAGATAGATAGATAGATAGATAGATAGATAGATGGATAGATAGATCTCCTTGATTGAATCCCACTTTATTTCCATAGACATGCTGGATCTCCGCATTTATTACATGGAAAAAAACGCAAAACTGCGCTGCTCTGAGATCAGCCTCTTGCATTTTCTCAGTGCAAGTGCAGTGCAAGGCAATGGCAGTGGCGCATGCGCAAGCCTCGCGTCGCAACACAGACACAGAGCTCGACAGCAGTGGTCATCAGGAGAAATTAGATATTAATAACCGTTTTGAGACAAGCTGACTAACGTGAGCCGTGAAGGATTATTTCGATTGTAAAAGGATTACTATTATAAAAGAGGAAGTTTGGGAAATAGCGCAATCAATAATACTGAATCATCTTCGTCACGTGGTCTCATTTGACCAATCGGAGTGAGCCAAATACAGCCGAAAGTATGCCCTTTGTTCGGATATTTTTCCAACTTTATCCCCAGATCTGACCCAGGAACTCGGTACAAATCATGGCATGTGGATACGGATGGGTCGTTTTATGAGAAAGGACGCGCTGTGGATATGTTTTATTGCGTTTTTGGTGCGCAGTGCCACGTGTTCAACTTTGATGAACAGTGCTCGGGCGTATTTCATCACATGACTCCCCTCCCCCACCCGGTGCAGGGAATTGGGGAAGAAGGCGGACATGTTGGAGGGAAATGTGTTGGTTAAAGAGTATCGAGGTGGAAGACAAGAAGATTATTTCAAGAAAGGTTTCGCTTTATTTTGGGATTTACCAGTCGACCTCTGTGTTTATTTTAAATTGAAGGCTTTTCATGTTATACTTTGAACATATTTATTTTTCTTTTGGATTATTTAACTTTGTTTTTTCAACCACAGTCTACTTTGTGGTTTTTACAGCTCTAAGTTGTAAAAACGTTTAATATTTGATATTGCAAGGACCTAGTGTTACTTCCATCGTTTATTTGAGTGACATTGTAGGGAATTTGTAACCTTGGTGTGGGGGATGGGCGCATGTGGTTAGGTAACCATTTTGTGTGGTTGTTGAATTTATAAAGTTCTTACGTTTTTAAACATAAGAATGATTGCAAATAATTATTCATTGGGGGATTGTATGTTTTTATATAAAAGGAAAACGTGCGGTTCAATCACTCTTCTGTAAAGTCTCAAGGGTGAGGTATGGTATTTGTATTTTCAGACATAAGATTGTGTTTGTGATTTCCTTTTAGCTTTAATTCATGTTTTTTCCCCCCTTCTTGTTGGTTGGGTACAAGCAGCTTTAAGTTTGATCAAATGTGGTCTGAAATCAGTGAGGAAAACTGCTGCGTCATTCAGTGGGTAGTTGGTTCTTGTAACCTACTATAGGTGTGGCCTTTTTATTGTTGGTTGAAGTAAATGTAGACCCCAGCCTCACTGTGATACATTTTGTATAAATTGTAAGCCTTGTCTTTGTACTACTTGTATGTGAGCCATGGGGCCTAGTCTGAGTGGTTGTGTGTTCTGAAACAGTGGCCTTTATCAGCAGCAGATGAAGCTGCTCATTTCAGTTGTATTTGTAAGCAACATATGCTGCGTTTTTTATGTTTTTGTTATTGTTTTGCCTGGCTTATTGTAAATAATTCGATTGTAATACTCGGTTTCACTGTACTTAAAGATGGCGACTGCGTGCCTCTTCTCAAAGACAGAAATGCGGATATTCGAGCAAGCAGAGAGCTCGTGGGGAGAGGCTCTTGGCTCTTAGAGGGTACGCGTGACCCGATTGAAGAACCAATAGGCTTCTTGGTATTTACCCTGGAAGCCCGCGTTAGAACCGTATCGACCAATCCCTGCCGTCGCTTTGCACACGTTGACGTAATGTAATATGATAAGGAGGAGGGTGGCTTTAGTACCCTTCCATTTTGTACAGGATCACACGAGGAGCCAGTTACAGGCAGCGTTTCTGTAATACTGAATAGACTGAGCCAATAGCATTGTGCAATTACCTTGACGGACAGTTAAAACTTACGAATAGGTTGGCCCGAAAGACTGACAGTGAAGCTCCAGCGTCTAGGGGTGTGGTGACTTTGACGGACATCATAAATAGCCAATAGAAAAATAGAGGGCGTGGACATTCTTAGGCAGTCTATCCAATAGGGCGAATGGTTGGTCTATATATGAACGGGTGTAGTCGCAGCGTCGCCATTTCAACGAAGCAGATTTGAAGGAGTTTACCGTGGCGGGGAGCGGAGAAAACTGACGAACAGAGAGGGATCCTGGTTTGAGTCTAGCTAAAAACACAATCCGGATCCATCCTGATGGATATGGCTGTTAACCCGCTCCTTGACAGGTATCTACCGGTAAAATTGACTCTCAGCTTTCCATCAGAGGGAATATTTTTAACAATTATCATGATTTTTTTTCAAAGTATCGTTGCTGGCAGCCTGTGTTTACTGTATTACAAGTTGAAGAGCAATGGAAACTATTTGTGCTGCAGGAAGATGTTTGTCTCTTCTGTAAAGGGATTAGAAGCGAAATTAACGTTGAGAAATTAAAATGTGTTTGTGGGTTGTAACAAGCTGCGACTGTTGGATCGCATAACGCCGGCGCCATCTTCGGAGCGCCTCTGCCGTTGGCCGCTCTCTCCCGCTGCCTGGCAGTTGGTGCTAGCTTTGCTAGCATTAGCTTCACAGACTCGAGCGTTTCAGTATGATAGCGGCTCCACTGATCGAAACTGTGGCGCGTTGTTTATATAGAGACAGTTATTTATTCTGATCTAAGCTGCCTGACACTTCAACAATACCATAGGTTTTAGTAACGTTGTCATAACTTAACGTCATATAATACTACAGTCATACGCGAGTTGAGATAAATTAGTGTTATTTAGTTAAACATACTAACGATAAACAGGCAGAGGAGCACGGCAGCACCGGTATTTCTGCTTGTTTCGCCGGTTTGTTATTGTAGCCATGTGACGGTCAGGGGTTGTTGTGATTACCGGTAAAACGACATTGCAGCCTAGCGCGAGGTCTAACGTAGTTAAATTTGCCACAGTCAAAGTATTAATAATCTATAGCCCTTTCTATTACCACGACAAGTTGAGTTGTTTGTCCATGATCAGAATGGTCAGTACGAACATGTTACGGCTCCTGTTGGGTTGGGTTAACCATGTGTGTTGGGTGTTTCAGTGGGTTGCCAGGTTACAGCGCTCAATGTCACTCAACCGCTTGGGCAGCAGCTTTCGTTGCGGTAAAGGTTGTTTTATTTATGACTAACTTAATTTATATCAGTAACTCAATTGTTCTTATCAGTTTCTCTTTTCCTTGGGCACTCATTCCTCATATTACTCTTCCAAAATTGTTACTTCAATTTACAGCTTACATTAAAAGTTGTTTTTGTTTAGTGGTGTTAATGTTATGTACATGATACTTTTTTCCTTTTTAATAATAAAGTACACTAACTGTCAAATGTGTTTCCAAAAGTTGTATCATTCAAAATGGCTTGCTTTACCATAAACAATACAAATATAGACTGTATTTTCATTTAAATTTTTTGTCAATTGCCCCTTTTTAGATTCTACGATAACTAGCTAAGTTTATCTTTTATTGTCTCTCAAACAATATGCAGTATGTACACGAAGGGGTCAGTCAATGAAAATACGCTCTAAACTTCTACAGGTAGTAAATGGATGTGTGTATACCATAATGTTGTCCAATGGGACCTATTACAGCATGATGCAAACATTGTAATACTTGGACACTATTTGCATCAGTTGCTTCAAGGTCACTTTAAAAGAGGGAAGCTCTTGCACACAAACCTATTTTTTAAATATACATATACTTGGATTGCAAGGGGCATGCAACAGCTGACAATGCTAACAAATGGACAACAGCTGTAGTGTTAGCGTTGTCATAGGAAAATGTTTTCCATGGGATGAAATACCCTAAATGCCCCCGTTTGCCCTTGGAACAAGCCTTGTTGCAGTGTCAAGTGTCAGTAGGTCAGCAGAGACATGGTGAGTTTGTGCTGTTGATGTCCACAGTGACCTCAAAGATAGCACTGTTGGTATATTTTTTTCAGGAGGAATATGCATTTAAATTCAACCGATCATCAGAGCAGCAGTGTTAAGGTGGACATGTAAGCTGGAGCTCTGGAGAGTTGAACTTTTGAACACACTTAAGAACTGATGAGTTTATATGATAGTGTACTAGTCTAAATAGCACAATATGAGTATACCACCAGTCTCGGTGCCACTGTATTTTACTTTCTTGACATGTGACTGTTACACTTGGCTGGATGCAGCTCTTGTGTTTTGAGGGTGGGGGGTTTGCACCTTCTGGGAACGATGAATTATATACATGGAGGCACCCACAGAATAACATTAGATAGTACTCTTGTTGAGTAAAAAGAACGGTAAGTCAGGTCAGGACCATGTTTTTATAAAGACAGCCTTCTTAGGCATCAAGTGTTGGCTTTCTCCTTGACAAGACAACTTCTTTTGTGAAAGACCAGGTAACCTTGCAATGATATTGGTAGTAAGTATTTTTTGTAGTGTTAAAATGTGTCAAACCAACAGTAACTAGTAGGAGCTCTCCGCTGATTTTTAAGTTATAGCCACATTCAAGATTATAGAGCAGTGATAACAGCAGATCCTGGCTCATTCTGTATAAAGTCTTACTTGCTTTCCCTGTGAAAACTAACTATGTTAACTTTAAAATTCAGAGATCATCAGTATCTGGCAGAAAACAGGTTTCTGCACGTTATGGGTTTTTCTGGTGGACAGCTCTAGATAGTCCAGTCATAACTAAAACATGGCAGCTGAAACCCCACCCACAATCCTTTCGGAGAGCAGCTTTTTTTTCTCTACAGGGAATGAGGGTGGAGTTTGTTTAATCAGTGAGATAGATGTAGAGAGGAGGAAGTGGTAGTCATGCCGCCCCCCCCCCTCCCAAGACCGGGAATGCTGATTTGGCAGGAGTATATTCCTAGCCTGGCTGATGTGTGCTTGCTGAGTAACGTATAGACTGTGCTTGACTCATTATGAGTGTCATGTCAATGGGATTTACACTACACTGTAGGCTTGTGAGTGTACGGTAGGATAAGTGGGGTTAATTGAGGTTTGATTGGATATCATGTAGTGTATACCAACAAAGGAGCTATTATATTAGGATGACACAGTAGGATAATTGGTTTATATGTAAGTATTTATGGGACAGATATTGGGCATAGATGTGCCAACCAACCTTCTCATTTCATCTGGATTGAAGGTCCAGATATTTTCTATTTGCAAAGACAGGAGAAACTGATGGCTTTTCAAAAAATAAGTCTCACCAGGACTTGTTGCACATCAGCATCACCTTGGTAGAAGTTTGGGGTAAAAGTAATACATTTCCTGTTTTGTTTATGTAGCAGTTAGAATTATGGACGCTTTGTGTTCTGTAGCATCTCCATTTTGACTTGCTGTAAATACAGGCAGTGTACCTGCGTGAATCAGCATAGGAAACTAGTAAATATCTATATTGCCTTAACACTTGTCAATCCTGGCAACTAAGCTTAAGAGCTCATTGGTTGTTCAACTGTGCTCCCTACAGCTCTCTTGTCGGGGTTGAGGTTGGCATAATGGGAGTCACACCGATGGACCAGGGTTCTGGCGCAGCTGGAAAACGCATCCGAAAACCCTCGCTGCTCTATGAGGGCTTTGAGAGTCCTGGGATGCCCCCCCTCAATCAGATGACCACTTCGGGACCCCCACAACCCCCGGTGAAAGACCCCGCCCGACAGGGAAAGATGACCAACCAACTTCAGTTCCTACAGAAAGTCCTGCTCAAGTCTTTGTGGAGGCACCACTTTGCCTGGCCCTTCCATGAACCTGTAGACGCGGTCAAGCTCAACCTTCCTGTGAGTGTCAGCGTTAAGAAACTGGACATTAAGATACCTTCTGTCTAGAGGAGGGGGCATCAATTTGTTTTGAGAAACAACGGCACTCTTTTCCACAAAGTGAAATGCCTCAGTGTCGACAATGTTGTCTCACTGCCTTTTGTTAGAGGGAGAGAGGAAAAGCCATCTCACACTGACAACAAGTTCTCACCCATGTTGTGTTGAACTAAGCTTTTTATGTTATTGTTAAAAACATCCTCTAAAAACATCTCACTCCCAGACTTTTTTTTAGCGTGCATCTATGACTTCCTCCCCATTAGTTTACCACATTAAAGTAATTTAAGAAGCCACAGGCTAATGGTACCGTTTTTCAAATCTGTTTGCTAGCCATTTGGACAGGTTATCCATTCTTCTTTTGGATGTTTTTCTTATTATATGTCTAATTGTTCAAAAAGTCATTTTTGGAGGTAGTGGCCCCTGTTTCTTGGCCTGAAAGTGTCTCTGTCTTCCTCCAGGACTATCATAAGATCATCAAAAATCCCATGGACATGGGCTCTATTAAGAAGAGATTAGAAAATAACTACTACCGCACTGCCAGCGAGTGCATGCAGGACTTCAACACCATGTTTACCAATTGCTACATTTATAACAAGGTAAGTGTGTGTGTGTTTGTGTTTGAGCCTGAGACATCCTGGCAAGAAAATGTTTCATGCCCACTGCTGCTGGTAGCCTTGACATCTGGCAAATGTTGCTTTTTTTTTCTCCATAAAACAGGCTTTGTACAACCTGAAATAAATGAATTCCCCTAGGAACCATATGAAGCCAATGACAGATGCTTTGCCTTCACCATGAAAGGATCAGATGCAAAATTTTATAAAGTGAAGACATTGCAAGATGTTAAAAGTTATAGTATTTTATTTGATTTATATAAAGTAGTTTTATTGACTTTTACTGCTTAGAACTTCACCTTTCTACTGTTGTAACCCTTTTGTCCCACTTTCCTCCTCTGCAGCCGACAGATGACATAGTGCTGATGGCCCAGTCTCTGGAGAAGGCATTCCTGCAGAAAGTGGCTCAGATGCCCCAGGAGGAGTTAGAGCTGCCTCCTCCCCCTCCACGCATCAAACCTGGCAAGCCTGGCAGAAAAGGCAGAGGTAATGCTGGCTGCAAGCAGGATAATACGGCCAGACATGTTAGAGAGACACACACACACACACACACACACACACAGGAAAGGACATGCATATGAGCACAGATCAGTTTACTGAATATTTAATCATATTTATTCTGACTCCTCCTGTCCACCTCTTTCTCCCAGTCTCTGGAGGAGTAACAACAGCTCATCAGGTCCCAGCTGTCTCCCAGTCAGCGTACTCACCTCCCACCCCGGAAACACCCGACTCTATCCTTTCTACCCCCCCACAGACACTTGTGAGCAAGAGCTTGCCCCCCGTGCTTCCAACTGAACAAAGCCTCCCTACCATTACAGGTCTGCCTCCCACACAGCCCACTGCTAAGGTAATGGTTAACTTTGCGACGTTCTGTATTTGTGTAGCTATTATTTTCAATAATATTCATAAAGACCGCAGACTAAACACCCTTCTGACCCACCCTCTCCTCCTCTTCTTCTCCTCTTCAATCACAGAAAAAAGGAGTAAAGAGGAAAGCAGACACAACCACCCCAACAACTGTAGCCATGCCCATCATGAGCACCATGGGCGTCAGCGGCATCAGCCTGGGGATGGGTGGTGGACACAACTCGCCGCTCACCCTGACTTCTCTTGGAGTGGACCACAACTCCAGCCTGGGGATGAACCAAAGCCTCAGCATCAACCAGGGCATGGGGATGGGAATTGTGATGGGTATGGGCATGGGCATGGGCATGGGCATGGGGATGGGCCGTGGAACAGTGATGATGAGCAGCAAAGCAGCAGCGGGGAGCAGGAGAGGAGTGAGTGGACGACCCATCAAGCCCCCCAAGAAGGATTTACCAGATTCTATACTGCCAACGCCGGTGCGCCGCAGCAAGCTGAACCCTCAGCTGCGCTACTGCAACGGTGTCCTGAAGGACCTGCTGTCAAAGAAGCACGCGGCGTACGCCTGGCCATTCTACAAGCCTGTCGATGCAACGTCACTCGGTCTTCACGACTACCATGACATCATCAAGCAGCCCATGGACCTCAGCACCATCAAGGTAGTTGGCTTAGGAATACACACACACACACACACACACACAGACACACACACCCACACACACACACACACACACACACCTGTCAGCATTTGTCAGAACAGAGGAGCAGGGTGTGATCTGTTTTCCAGTCGTGCTGCACTGAATAGCAGATGTAGTGTGAAACCAGGGCAACGCTGTGACATATTGTTACCATATGTCTTTGAAAACCGCGGCGTTCGTTTGTATAAAATGTTTAAACATTTTCAAAGATGAAATGTATAGGCAGTTGATATGTTTGTCCTGTGTAGCCCTGCTTCACTGTCTTTTCAGGCATATTTTCTCTGAAGACTGAATGTTTGCTGTAATCTGTGGCCTAGTTTTAAGGTGCTAAATAGTCCACATACACCAGACAATGAGGCAGATACATTTGTCTGTCCGAAATACAGTATTTGGCTAAAATCTCTTCTTCTCTCTTATTGTTTCCAGCGGAAGATGGACAGCAGAGAGTATCGTGACGCTCAGCAATTCTCTGCTGATGTTAGACTGATGTTCTCCAACTGCTACAAGTACAACCCCCCTGATCATGACGTGGTGGCTATGGCCAGAAAACTCCAGGTAGTGTGCTTGTTTCAGTGATCTGATGTGTTCAGTCCACTGCCCTCTGCAGTTCTTGTTTTTAAACTGGTTCGCTCACCTACTGATTTCTTCATCTTAGGACGTCTTTGAGTTCTGCTTTGCTAAGATGCCAGATGAGCCTCCAGCACCACCTAGCTCCTCCTCCTCCTCCTCCTCCTCTTCATCCTCATCTGAGAGTGAGATCAGCAGTGAAAGTGAGGAGAGTGAGAGCAGCCCCAGCTCTGACTCTGAGGAGGAGAGGGCAAACCGGCTGGCAGAACTGCAGGAACAGGTTTGTACTTGTGTGCCCACACACATCAGAGCAGGACACCAGAACTTCATAAATATGTTCAATACATGATTTTGTGACACTAATGGGATGTGCTCATTGTGCTGTATCCTTTACCGTCTGTCTCCCTTCAGCTGAAAGCCGTGCACGAGCAGCTCACTGCACTCTCCCAGGGCCCCATCGTCAAACCTAAGAAAAAGAAAGAGAAGAAAGACAAGAAAAAGAAGAAAAAGGTAGAAAAAGAGAAGCATCGGAGGATAGAGGAAGAGATCCCTCCTATCAAGCCGGCCAAGACCCCCAAAATCACCAAGACTCCAAAAGCAAAGCCCAACCGAGCGGTGGGCTGTCCCGTAATCCCAATTAAGAAGGCTCCAAGCAAGAAAAACAACAAGAGCAAGTGAGTACTCGCTGACACCTGCTGGATGACTGTGGAACTGAAAGTGTGATGTGCATGCTGTGTTTGCTGGAGCACGTGGAAGACCACGTAGAAATATTGCAAGGTGTCCCAAAAGCGTCTGGCTCTGGCACAAAGTCAGGCAGATGGCAACATGTGGAAAGAATTGTGTAGAAATAGTTGTTGCAGTTTAAAATAAGTATCAATAGGACTGTAAAAATGTACATTATTCAGACATAAGTCATATAATGTGACATCAGCTCGCTCGCTATTTTCTACTGACCGTGCTCTTATGTTTTGCCATTCCTCAGTCATCTTTTAACAGTCTCTCCCCCCATCTCCTCCTCTCCTCCTCTCCTGTGTTTTATCAGAGCCAAAAAGGGCGGCATGATGTTCAGCATGCCTCAGCCGGTCCACGACCCCATAGTGAGTCATTTCGACTCGGATGAAGAGGAGGAGACGGCGCCCATGTCGTACGACGAGAAGCGCCAGCTCAGCCTGGACATCAACAAGCTGCCCGGGGAGAAGCTGGGCCGCGTTGTTTACATCATCCAGTCCCGCGAGCCCTCGCTCCGAGACACCAACCCCGAGGAGATCGAGATAGACTTTGAGACGCTGAAGCCGTCGACGCTGCGGGAGCTGGAGAGATACGTCATGACGTGTCTGAGGAAGAAACCTCGAAAGCCATATGGTAAGTAGAACAAGGGGTCGAGATCGTGAAATGATTACTGTTTATATGTCCATGATCATGTGATCAAGTGTTGTTTCACTTGTTTTGGATTAAAATGTCACTTGTAGTTGTTCGTGCTACTGTTTAATATTATTGAAATACTATACCAGGGTTCAGTGTAAACACAGATTGTTTAAATCGTTCTTGGACTAATTGGAGGATAAGGACACAGATTTCAAGCCTTTGTGTTGTTGGGTGTTTTTAACTACATGTGACACTACAGCTATGTAAAACATCAGCTACAGATCTTTGATGATGTTGTACGGTACCTCATCTTATTCATGTTGTCACGTGTCTGTTTGCATGTAGCAAGTAAAAAGAACAGTGCTGGCAAATCCCGGGAGGAGCTCGCTCTGGAGAAACAATTGGAGCTGGAGAGAAGGCTGATGGACGTCAGTGGTCAGCTGAACTCTGGGAAGAAGCCTCCTAAGACCAAACGTAAGGCCTCCTTACAGCTGTCGTTTGATATGAATTCCACATGTTTAAAAATAAGATGGAAGATGATCATGTCAGAAGTTGCTACACAGACATATTAAATAAAAAATCAAATTAGTAAATTATTGGTGGCTGGTGGGAAAAAAAGCTTTTGATTATGCACCACATGGTCTTGATTGTATGCATTTCCTTTCTGCAGCAGAGAAACCTGCAACCGAGGCCCACACCCAGCCGTCACGCCTCAGCGCCAGCAGTTCCTCCTCGGACTCCTCTTCCTCGTCCTCCTCCTCCTCTTCCTCAGACACAAGCGAATCAGACTCTGGCTGAGAAGCAGAGGGTCTCCATTTGAAAGGGTCATGTGACGGACCCTTGGTGTTTCGCTTCCCACCGAGTGGACTGAACTGTAGTAGAGCTACTGACGACGGAGCCGCAGGGCGGATCAAACGAGACCAGCACTAGGCAGAACTGGTCCGACTCGACACGTATCAAACCGAGAGAGAGAGAGAGAGAGAGAGATGGAGCTTTCCCTGCACTCAGCTCATTCATCCAGTCTTGGACTCAGAAAACCTGAGGATGGATGAATGGATGAACTGTAGGAGACTCGATGTAAAGTCTTGCCGTTCTCTGGAGAACTGGCGTTGTTGGGCGGAGCGAGGGATGCTCCATCTCCTGCGAATAAAGGAGTCGAGCAGCGCATGCGTTGGAGGGATAAGGGTGCTAGAGCCAGAATCTGTCTTATTTCTGGAGATAATTTCCCTTCTTACCGTGCTCCCTGTCTTTATGCTGTATAGATAAGGTGTACAGTTATATAAATATCTATTTTTCTTTTATAAAGAAGCATTTTATGGAGCTAATTTATTCCCGCATTCTGGGAAAGATGTACTGGTGTGGGCGGAGTTGTTTGTTTAGTTGGGTTTATTTTTTTTTTTTTTTTTGGGTGGCAAAGAGGGGAAATGTGTGTGTGTGTGTGTGTGTGTGTGTGTGTGTCAGTCTGTGTTTGTATGAGTGTTTGTGTGCATGTGTTTGTATGAGTGTGTGTGCGTATGTGTGTGTGAGAGAGAGAACGGCACCCCGAGTGCAGCCTTGTGAAGTCCCTCATAGTTTTGACGCAGGCGTTGAAAATCAGTCTGCACGCAGAAGCACCTTGGTTCAGTAGAATACAGAATGCATGCAATACAGAGGAGCTGACAAACACCTGCATACTTATGTACTACTTTACTGCATCCTTGTGTACTCATGTACTTGTTTGAAAGGGTTGGCCACTGTACAGAAATGTGACATAGTTACACACCAGTTTATACGTAAATATTTCTGTTCCCGTGTTGGCTGTCTTTTTTTCATCCCTTTCCATTTCAATTTCTCTGTACAATGTGTTTCTTTTTTTCTTCTTGTGACCAATCTGCTAATAAATTGTGAGGACGTGTCTTGTCCACTCACCCGTGCCCAAATAACATCTTGGTTCTTTTGATTTCTTTTTGGTGTTCAGGTCTGTTCAGTCACAAAACATCTGACTAGAATTCAGTATTTCAAGTTGCAAGACAAAGCTTTTACTGGTTTTTATATTTGATATTTTATTCAAGTAAGTGAAGCATTTTGGCTTGATTTCCCATCAGCCATCACTTCCTAACACCATGGTGACACAAAAGTAAAACTGATTTGTCTTTTAAACAATTGGCCTTTGAGATCTACGGCAGCTGAAAGTTTTATTTTCTGTATTGAGCGAGTTTTGTTAAGGAGTAAGTTTACTTGTTTGTGTGATTAAAAACAGTTATACCAGGTTGGGAAGTTCTAACAGAAACTTCAGGTTGTGGATGGTGAAGTTTTCTCCTTTGACAGATAAACAAGTCTTTTTTTTTTTTTCTTTCTTTTTTTTTTTTTAAGAAAAGCAATGTGACTGGTGGAAACATGAAAGTGTTTTTTTGAATTCTGGGATCCAGTAGACAAAAAAAGATGGTTTAATGTTGTGAGTAATAACGATGCACTGTTTGTTTTGGTGGTACTACTAAACAATTTGTGATTTAGGTAAGGTGTGTATCAGTTTTGTTTTCTTTTAAAATTGTCTATGGCTTGAGATTGGACTATTGTATGTTTGAAACTGATTATTTATTTAGGAGGAAATTGAATGGAGATACTTTTTTCATAATACTGAAAGTAATCAAAAGCTTTTAAGTCGAAGTCTACTCTATGAAATATGCACAGATTAACTGTCAGGATTGTAGAAGTGTACATATTTTACAGTCTCAATCTTTGAGCATGTTTTTGTTTTTCCTTCAGTAACTTAGTCGAGATTTTTCTTTGGGTTACTGTTCCAAGACAAAATACTCCAGTTATCAGTCTTACTTTTCTGAAGTTTGTCAGAAATATAAACGCCTCTGTACTTGACTCCATCATTTCATCTGAACATCTGTACATAAATAAACTGAGACATGTTCATCTTTTCACTGACTGTGGGCACATTTTATTTACAGTTTGTCATTTTAGTTCCTGCTGAACTCATTCAGGTCTAGGAACGAGGACATTTTCACACGACTTGAAATGAGAATGCTGACATCTACTGAAAATGTATTAAAAATATACAGTATACTATTCCAAGGGAAAGTAGGAAAAAGTGATCTTTTTAGTTCATCTTTTATTTTTGGAACCGTTTGATTATCGTTAACGAATATCAATACTATTTGTCATGCCATTCAGTGGATAAGAGGCCCGTTTAGTTGAGTTTGATTTTTGTTGATTTAGTTAATTTTTGAAAGTGTTCACAGGAAGTAAATATATGCTATTGTGTCTGTCTTTACACTTGAACTGATGATACATTGCCCTCTGGTGGTCACACTTCGTTATTACACTTCGTCTTCTTTAAAAGCTGCGATTGAACAACATCACAGTCCCTGGCCGTTAGAAATGATAAAAACTGTTATATAACCTTCCCGTTTCTATATCGTTTTTCCTCTGTTTTACCTCAGTCAATGTGTTTGCAGTTGCACTTGAGGAAAAGAAGTCCGTGGATTGGCGCACAATACAGTGTATTTATAGTGGTGTGTTTTAAAACTATACCACTAGGCTCAATTATTTTTGTTTATTTATTATTAACTGTTATTATTATTATCACCAATGAGCTACTGGTCACATGAATTTCCCCTAGGGGATAAATAAAGTATCAGAATCCACGGTATTTTGGCGCCATCCAGTGGACAAAGGCGAAAACTGCAACAACAGGGGAGAAAAAGAAACATGGCGGCGGCTGCTACCAGACTTATATCAAGGTTAACATTGGTGACTGGTAAGTTTTCATTTGAACGTGCATCGCCAATTTGTTTCGATACGTATCAAAGCTGTCGGGATGTCGCCGTTTCTTTTTAAATGATGTTTTAAACATTTTGGTTTCCGTGTCAGTCCCGGCGAGTTTCACCCATTTAAACCAACAAGCCAAGTACAACTGATGATTAATAATTAAACTTTAACTCTACGTAAAGCTTGTTTTTCTCATCGACACTATGGTTAGAGAGCTTTTTTGGTTGTGGCAAGTGAAATCTTTGGTCCTGATCCGTGACTATCAACACGACATGACTCAAAGCTGAATGAATAATTTGGACGAAAAAATGAAAGTACAACCGCCGATATTACATATGAAGATGTTCATATATATGTAATATTAATATTAATCAGGACTGCAAATCATAATTATTTATTATTATTGATCTGTCTATTTCCCCCTGGATTCTCCGGATGGTTTTATGAAAAAAAATGGCTAAAAATTGTGAAAAATGTCAGTTGTTATCAGCCCTGGCAGGAGTAGTGTCAGCAGCAAACCACAGCTGCCTCTGCAGGAGCCGCCTGAGTGTCTCAAGGCCTGTGAGATGTAATGCAGTAGCTGTGGAGCAGAGACCTAGGGCCTCACACTGACCTCTCACCCTGAGTCAGTCATTCATTAGGTGGACAAGAGAAAATTCCCTCACAGAAACATGCAGTCAGTCAGTCGCTTCAACGTTGTCACTAATGTATTAAACCTTTTCACCAGAGCTTCAGACTAAGACGCCAAATGTTTGGATGTTTTGATAAAAACCTGACTGACTTTAGAAACAGTGAGTCAAAATGTTCAGACACAACACTGTACTGAAGTTCCAACAGTAACATGTCGGAAAGATAACTATATTCTGTTTCAACACTGCTTTGGTGATCAAACTTATACCTTGGCATCAGTTATAGTAAATTCACACTACATATAGTATATATATGTATATATACTGCTCAAAAGATTAAGGGAACCCACAGTATAACACCAAGTCAGTTAAACTTCAGGGATATCAATCTGTCCATTTAGGAAGCAACAAGTGATTGTGAATCAGTTTCAGCTGCTTTGGTGCAAGTGAAAGTGACAACAGCTGCAATGCAGAGGATAAAAGCAAGACAACCCCCAAAAAGGGAATGGTTCTACATGTGGTGGCCACAGACACTTGCTCTCTCCTTCTCCTTCCTGACTGATTCTTCTCCAGTTTCGTGTTTTGCTAGTGTCCGTGTCACCACTGGTAGCATGAGGCGGCACCTGCAGCACAGTCAGGTTGCACAGGTAGTCCGGCACATCCATACGTGCAGCCGCAAGAAGGTTTGCTGTGTCTCCCAGCACAGTCCCAAGAGCATGGAGGAGACACCAGGAGACGCCCGTTACACCAGGAGAGCTGGACAGGAGCCGTGGAAAGCATCAACCCAGCAGCAGGACCGCTACCTGCTCCTTTGTGCTGCCAGAGCCCTACAACATGACCTCCAGCAGGCTCCTGGTGCGCATGTTACTGACCAAACTGTCAGACACAGACTCCATAAGGCTGGCGTGAGGACCTGACGTCCTCTAGTGGGACCTGTGCTCACAGCCCAGCACCCTGCAGCTCGACTTGCATTCGCCAGATTCACACTGAGCGCATGTGACAGGCGTGAAAGAGTCTGGAGACGCCGTGGTGAACGTTATGCTGCCTGTAACATCATCCAGCATGAGCAGTTTGGTGGTGGGTCAGTGATGGTCTGAGGAGGCAGATCCTTGGAGGGTCGCACAGACCTCCATGTCACAGCCAGCTGTAACCCTGACTGCTGTTGGGTACCTGGTGTAGGGATGACGAAGGCATTGATGCCATTGACTGGCCCTCACGTTCCCCTGACCTAAACCCAACTGAGCACCTATGGGACGTTATGTATCGGTGCATCCGAAGTACCGCCACAGACTGTCCAGGAGCTCACTGACGCCCTGATCCAGGTCTGGGAGGAGATCCCCCAGGACACCATCCTCCGACTCATCAGGAGCACGCCCAGACGCTGTCAGGAGTGTATACAGGCACACGGGGGTCATACACAGAGTTGGATCAGCCTGTGGTTTCAATTTTTTACCTTGATTTTCAGTGTGATTGTGAATCCAGCCCTCACTGGGTTTCCATTGACCGTCATTACGTCATTTTGTTCTTAACAAATTATACAATGAACATCAGTGAAGAACTTCAACTTGAATAATTCGCTCATCAAGATCCGATGTGTGATTTAAGAGTTCCCTTAATTTAGAACTGCAACTCATAATTATTTATTATTATTATTATTATTATTATTATTATTATTATTGATCTGTTTATTTCCCCTGGGTTCTCTGGATGGGTTTGTGTATAAAAAGGCTGAAAATAGCGTCCAAATCTTCAAATGTCTCTAAAACCCACAAATATTCACTTTACAATTGTACAATCATCACATCTGAATTTTCAGCATTTTTGTTTGTTAAATGATCAAAATGATCAAAATATTCTCAGATGAATCATTATCTTGTTTGAGTGCACTTTATTATTGAGTGCAAATGTTAGTGCACGTGGCGGCCTGAACCTTCTGTGCTGATGGCAGCAACTAGTAAAATGAAAACATCTGCAGCTCAGGTTTGTCTCGACACACACACACACACACACACACACACACACACACACACACACACACACACACACACACACACACACACACACACCCTCCCTCCCTCTGAAACCATTAGTAAATTCATAAGACGAGCTGCAGTGTTTTGTCCCACACCCCCTTCCTCTGTGCTCAGGTGCCACTCTCACTTCACTCTTCTTACCCAGGGGGAGGCAGTGGGATTGGACGGGCCGTGTGCCAGCGTTTCGCCTCTGAGGGCGCCTCCGTGGTGGTCGCTGACATCAGTGAGGAGTCGGCCAATGAGACGCTGGGGAGTCTGCAGGGTGACCTCAGAGGGCAGGGTCACATGGCAGGTGTGGTGGACGTCTCGTCAAAAGAGAGTATAACGAAGCTGGTCACAAGTATACAGGTGTGTGTGTGTGTGTGTGTGTGTGTGTGTGTGTGTGTGTTTACATACTTTTTACTCTAACATGAATATCTGTTAGAATCCTGGAAATTTCTTTTTTCCCCGCCCTTCTTCTCTGCTAACAGTCAGTGTCCTCTCGCTCTGCAGACCCGTTACTTCCAGCCTCCCTCAGTGTGTGTGAACGCAGCAGGCATCACCCGGGACGACTTCCTGCTCAACATGACGGAAGAAGAGTTTGACAAAGTCATCCAGGTCAACCTGAAGGTAACACAGCTGTGACATCCTGCTCTGACATCCCTCACTCAGTGACCAGAGGACCAGCACAGGCTGCAGTCACGCTTCTCCTCAACACACACACACACACACACACACACACACACACACACACACACACACACACACACACACACACACGTCCAAAACATTCCTAACAACAAAACACAGAGAGAGTCAAGTCTGTTTTCCAGCAGTTTTCTTGCTTGAAATGAAACTCCTGAATGATCATGATAGTTCATCTGTTTCTGGATTATAAATTAAAAGTCACAGCAGCTACGAGATGAAATCTTCCGACAGCGCATCAGTGCTGCTCCAGTGTTCGGTGAGACACTGAATGACGGAAACAGATTGAAGCGATTCGTTCACTCATCCTTTTCCCCCTGTGTCTCCCCCAGGGTTCATTCTTGGTCACGCAGGCCGTCGCTCAGGCTCTGGTGGCCTGCGGAGCACCCAAAGGATCCATCGTTACCGTGGGCAGCATCGTGGGAAAGGTGAGACACCAGCAGCTGTGGCGGGCACAATGTCACGTTCTCACATTTTCAGTATGAAGATGACGCTGATAAGCGTTTTGTGCAGGAAGTGTGACAGTGGGATCGTTCCCAGCTGTTGAGGTGTGTGGTGTTTTCAGCCCGGTGGCCCTGTAGTTTCTCTTCAGTGGGACCAATTAAAAACAGTCCAGACCAAGTCATTTCAAATCATGAACTTTTAAAGGAACATAATGGCTTTTTACAAAGTAGAGGATACAAAAATAAACTCGCAGAATTCCATCGAGAACAAGAAGGAGCCGTTCAGTCTCTTGATGGATTCGAATTTGGGCTGTTAACAAAGTGATACAGGAGCTAATGCGCTGCACGCTCGTGTCTGTGTTTGTAGGTGGGAAACGTGGGACAGGCGAATTATGCCGCCTCTAAAGCTGGAGTGGAGGGTTTAACCAGAACCGCTGCCAAAGAGCTCAGCAGGTGAGAGGAGTCTGATCAGCCAGCCGACACATCGGGACGCAGAGAGCTGATCCGAGTGTCTGCTTCTCCTTTCTCCTGTCCTCAGGTTCGGGATCCGGTGCAACTGTGTTCTGCCGGGATTCATATCGACTCCCATGACGGATAAAGTGCCAGAGAAGGTTATTACCAAGGTACAGCGCACGCCGGGCGGCAGACAGATTCAGTAACACTTCACGCAGGCCTGTAGTGATATTCTAACCACTGAATACCACGCCCTTCATAAAGTTATACATATTGTTTTTTTTACCGTAAATGACACTTTGTGCATTTTTGACAGGAGAAGGCTTTTAAATAAAGTTCAAGATGTACCAAACACAAATCATTATTTAAGCCAAGAAAGCAACATATGCAGGATATGAATTAAAGTCAAAATAAAATAAAATGCGACATTATTTTTCATTTATACAAGCTACTGAATAATACAGTACACACTTAACAATCCAGTCTTGTTGCTTGTATTTTATGAATTAAAATGAAGTTACTTTTCCCTCCTAGAGCTGTTTACCTCTTAGAAAAGGTGACTTTTTTTGCCCAGTAGATATTAAGGGTCAGTTCACACAAACTACCAAAAACAGGCATAAAACCAGAGTTTTCCCTTTGGTATTAAATAGTTACCACAGAGTATAGTCCTGACTAAACTCAACTTTATTTCATTATTATTTCAAATATCAGTATTTAATGAATCTGTTGTTCTGGAGCGGAAGCAGAGGAGTTGGTGGTGAAGAACTTAAACCATCCGTACGGCTAAGAGTCAGTGGGGGAGGGGGGTGGGATTTGATTTCACTTTGATCTCCATCATTTCTGTGTCCCTGGTTGGACTGCAGTGACACCCTCCTTAAACGTATTTGTTCTTGTGTTTCAGATGAAATCCTTGGTGCCTATGGGAAGAATGGGCGAGCCTGCAGGTCAGTTAATGTTTGACATAACTGACTTGAACCTTTAGTCTCGCATCGTAGATGTTTATAATGGACGGGATACCTTCTGTTGAACGCTTCCAGCAACACTGGAATCGAAAACTTCAACCTGTAACGTGGGGATTTTAGATCTGTCATTGCATCAGCTGCAGCTAAACCAGCTGAAGATTTTCCTAGTGGATCCAGAAAAACTTTAAAATGTTATTTGAACGTTATGAAAGTACTCCTCCTCTCGTGCTCACCTCTTCATCTCCCTTCAGGTTTGTCCTTTACAGTGTAATAAGGCTGAGGGATATGGATTGTACCTGGTCCGTGTGTTTATCTGACACGCACGGTTTCCATGACTTCAGCACATTGATGACTTGTCCTTCGTTTTGTCCTCTTGCTGTCCTGCAGAGGTCGCTGACGTCTGTGCCTTTCTAGCCTCAGATGACTCTCGATACATCACAGGCGCCAGCGTCGAAGTGACAGGTGCAGTGTGGTTGAATGCTCGATCAGCTGTTTCTGTAAAAACACGCTTTTATAATCTGTTTCTTTTGATAGGAAATAAGTGACAAGTTCCCCTCAACTAAGCTGAACTTTTATTAACACATTAAATCATACACTGATGGTTTTAAATGTAAAGTGCTATAACTCACCTTACGTGTCTCTGTGTTTGTCAGGTGGACTTTTCATTGGCTAAATCAAATGGCCGTCACGCTGATGAAGACCAATGAGAGGCGAGTTTCTAAAGGGGTTCTGCTGTTAGTGGCTCTTTGATCATGAACTGTACAGTGTAAAGACACTTTCTGTGCCAATAAATACCTCTGTTTGTAATGTTTCTCTACAGACAGCTGTCCCCTGGTTTTCATTTTAACCTAAAGCTCTAAAGTATTTTATTTATTATTCCCTTACACTTTGATGATTAGACAAATCTGTCTTCATGAAGTTTCTCGGTCTTTGCTGCCGATGCTGTTTAAAAACCAAAATAACCACTGCAGTTTTTTCTTTTTTCCACAATGAGCTGTAGGTTTGGAGATGCTGGTCCTCACAACACAGCTAAATGTGCAAGTCATGTTTTGGAAACGGGGGCCCACAATCCCAAAGATTATGCAACAGTGCATTCCCCCTGAGCCACGAGATCACGCCACAGTTTAGTTTGTCATGTGTCATTTTTCCAAACAGCTTTAGATTTTGAAACACAAGCAGTCAGAGATGAAGGAAAAAAAAACATTTATTTTAAAAGAATCAAATGAAACTTTCTGTCACCTTTGCAGCTGCTGTGCATCAGCACACTTTTGAATGTGCAGTTTTTCTCTGTGGTCATGAGAGAAAGCAACAAAATGTAAAGGACTGTTTAGGTTTGGAGGAGATCATTACTTCTGGTGCTTAAAATCTAGAAACTGCAAGTCACTTAAAGAAACCTACACTTCAGTGCTGGTGTCCACGCTGGTTTTACAGCTTGATGATTCACAGCCAGTTGTTTTACAATATGTGTTTTGTTTCTAGTGACAGACCTAAATTGATTTAGATAAATTACTGTCTCTATTTAAAGCAACAGCTCCAAGAAACTGATGAGAAATCCACAGGAGAAGGAACCGCAAGTGGCCACAAGGTGTCGCTGTTTTACCACATAACATGACCATGTACCAAGTGTGGAGCAGCAGAAACACAAATCACAACCAAACTACAGTCAAAATGAATGAAGCGCAAATAAAGGTAATAGATTTAAACAGATTTTGAAGCTTAGCATAAGCTGTGGAGGAATGATTCACAAGGGAAATGATGTATTTTACTTTGACATTAATAACGACCTATATTGAAACAGACATGTAAGAATATAACACCCATAAAAAGGTGTGTTTTGTCTGTCTTCTGGCAAAGTGACACAAAAACATCAAATAAAAGTAAGCTACAACCTTTTCTCCGAGTCTCTAAACTACCTGTATAAATGAGAAACAGCGCCGCCTTGTGGCCATTTGCGTTGAGGCAAGGAGAACTACTGATGGGAGGGGTTTGGAAGAAAAACAAGAGTCAAGCAGCTCTTTTTAAAAAGATTATATATTACAGAAACAGGAATTTAAAAAAAATTACTTACACACATTTTAAAATAATACTTTTTTCTCTTTTCAGCACCATATTTTTTTATGTTGAAATGTTCGTCTTCAACACAATAAAAACAAACAAAAGTTGAGGTCGTTCTCTCTGGAGAATCTCAAGGACAGATTTTTTTATTTTTAGGTTTTGGCCATCCCGCCCCGTTTCCCTGCTATATTAGAAAAAAAAAAGGCAAACAAATGAAAAAAAAACAAAAAAAACCCCCAAATGAATCCAGACCCCTAGTATGATATCACCCCACAGCCACTTTATACCCACAAACAATAATCTTATTAATCACTTTTAATCCCATGGTGGCTGACAGGGTTGTCCCCTCCCTCTCACAACCTTCCCCCCTACTCGCTGTGGTCTCATAGAAATATAAAAGCTCAGAGGATTGTGTGTCAATATCGTCAGCTGACTAAGTGAAATATATTTGCGTTTTCAAAGCCCAGTGAAGCAACGACCTGAGCCTGAAGCCGACATACGCCAAGTCACACAGTAGCAACGACAAGGAAATGTGACAGAACTGGAGAGTCACCATTTAATCATTACAGTGGAGGCAAAAAATTTTAACAGCACAGTACAGTTGATGAAAACACTAAAAAAACAAAAAAAAAGAAAAACAAAAAAAAGGGATATTACAATAAAAATATGGCCACAGATTCTTTGGTTGTACAAAAGGAGTTTGGACAGGGCGTGAACAGAAGCACCGTAACTCAGGCTGGCAGTGAGTTTAACTTGACCTTCAAGCGTCAGCTACAGGAAATAAATACAAATGAAATATACCACATTTGACTGGAATATTTGGTGGTTCTTGTTTTTTTTTTTTTTTTAAATCTCAAAGCACCCTGTTTGTTTTAAATAAATACAATAGAATATCACTATTTCTGTACAAATGGAATGTAATGCACATTTTCCCCAGTAAAAAGCTTCATGAAAAAGAGACTAAAGAAAATGGAGGACTCAAAGTGAATACTAAAACTTTTATGCTTTGGTATAATTAGCACCTTGCCACACAGTTTCTTTCAGTAAAGCATGCGTTTTATTCACTGCTGCAGGAAAAAAAAAAAGAGCAGGGAGGAACTTTGAATCTGATTTACATGTTTAAGCCCTGACGGTGTTCTCTGCTTGGATGCAAATGGAATGGAAAACAATAATCAAAGCACCCAGGAAGTGACTCAGGAAATACTGGACTGTGGTAGTGACCCTGGTAGCTCGATCCATGATTTTAAAGAGGAAGAATCAGCCCTTTAAAAATGCACCAGTAACATGCAAATACAATAGCATCGAGTTTAGCACAGTTTACAAAAAATAATGGCTTTTAAAAATCACTGATCTAGATATCGACACATCTTCTATCCCGCCTCGCTGCGCGCTGCAGGTTTGGTCCGATGTTAACAAAAGGAACAGTTTTAACAGAGTTTCTGCTGCTCTCAGGGCCGAGGAAAGATTGTCCAGTTAACAATAAAAACAATAACTCATTTAGACTGTTAATAAAACTGCAAGGCGGTCACGAGGAGAATGTTACAAAGAGTAGAAGATTCACTTGGTGGCAGATTAAACAAGACAAAAACAGATCAGTCTAACAAGCAAGACCCTGCTGGTGTGCTTTCGGTCAGTTCCCTCTTTTTTGACTCTGGGTGGAAACTGGTGGCATTCGTTCTTTGGTTTCTTTTGATGTCATAAGGTAAGAGCTGAGGGTTACTCTGCGTTCTCAATGCGAGCAACGTGATTGACGAGTCACTACGAAAACTAGACGACCAGAGACGTTAACCTTTACAGAGGTGGAGGAAAAGTTTGTGACCTCTGGCCGTCCTTTTCCTGTCAGTTTGGTGTCTGCTGTTGTGATTTGACTTTGGTTCATGAGAGGAAGTTCTGGCTGAAAACTTTCAATTCTCAGCAACTTTCTACCTGGATGACTGAAGGGAAAACGACAGAGCCACGAACCACGACACGTATTTAACTGTTCCTCATAGATGCTGTCCTGAAAGAGTGACCGTCAATCAAGCTGCTCGCAGTGTGAATGTGGGATTAAAGAAATCAAAATCATGTCTGAGTGTGACCCTTCTGTGGGAGGAGGAGGAGGAGGAGGGGGGAGGTAGAGCAGGTGAGATGAGTGGAAGGAAAAAAAAGAAAAAAAAAAAAAGAAAAAAAGAGAGACAGCGGGGAGGAGAGAGGAGTGAGAGGGGGATCGGAGACGGGGGGCTTCAGGCCTCAAGTTGCCGGCTTGCTCTCTCTCTCTCAGGCCGGCCCCTTTCGCTGCTGGTAAAGAAAACACTGTTTTATTCCGACGAACACTCTCTCCTGGTTTTTTTTTTTCTTCCTTTCTCGCGGACGTGCGCCCGAGCGATGGTCTCCTCTTCGCGAGTTTTTAAAAAAAATTCTCTCCTCTTTACTTTTATTTTGACGTCCATTAATTGTTGGGATGGATGTTGCTTTCCCCAGGCACGTACTTGAGTGTGAGTGTGTCTCACAACAGCATCTGTGTGTGTAAGTGTGTGTGTGTGGGTTTGTGTGTGTGTGTGTGTGTGTGTTTCATATCATTTACAAGTTAATTTACAAATTACTGGGCATGTATGTTTATTATATATTCTCCTGGTTCTAAGTGCATGTGTGTGTGTGTGTGTGTGTGTGCGTGAGCATTTGCATGTGTTGTTCTCTGCATGGTGTGTGTGTGTGTCTGTGTGTGTGTGTGTGTGTTTGTGTGTGTGTGTGTTTTTAGCCTTGGAAACAGACAGGTCCCACTTCAAAGCCAAACTGCTGGTTGCTCTCCCCAAAGTCTGACACCTTGATATCCAGCAGAGGAAGGTGCTCCACCTGTGGTGTGTTGATCTCCAGGACCGTCCTGTCGAAGCCCTTACGATACTGCGGAGAGAAACACAGAGGATGAGACGCGTCACAAATCAGAATCAGGATATTTACACGTGGCAGAACATGTTCATCTACTGTGCGTCTGTGTGGAAACACTCTTGTAAATCTTAAGTTACGCTGATGTTTTTAGGCTCTTAGCACATTAGTAACTAACACCTTGGAAAGAGGAAATTCACAAGTGATGCACTTCAGATGAGGTTAGCATGTGCCGCCTGGTGCTTGACAGTTGACAGTCACAGCAGATTATCATTTGCCTTCATGTCTCTGTGTGCTGCTGTTATTTCAAGACAATATCTATTCACAAAATGAGGCAATTCTCGAGCGTCTTAAGTTCATTACATCCTGTATATCCCAACAACGTCAACACACACAACACAAAGCTCTTTCTAACAGCACTGAAGGGTGAAGAATTGAATAGACTAGAATATAAATGAAAATCAGCGGGTGGAAAAAGAAACAGACGTGTGGTTTCTCCTGTGATTTGCAGCGCAAGAGGAGACAATACGATAATTATATTTTTTATATAGTTGTTTTTCTATTCATATTTTTGTGTACTTGAAGAGAGTGTACATCATAATATGTGATATGAGACCGTAAGCAGTCAGCAAATTTATTTTCAAATGTTAATCAGCAAAAATATGCAGCATGTTGATGTAGAGGAGGATGGGAAACCATCTCCATTCGGCTGCATGAAATCAAACGCTATCTTTATGTTCTTCATGTGATGTTTTGACATGGGACATGACACAGGAGGGATCAATCTGCAGTGTAACCCAATGGGATATCAAGACAGAAAAGCTGTTCAGACGTGTTGGTGTCATTGGTTAGGTGTTGGATGAGTTTTGCCGACTAGTTCAGAATGAGGTCAACACTGACGAGACACTGTTTTCCAGGAAGTGACAGTTTTCCAGTAAGACTCAATAAACCTTTCAGCAGAGAAGCATCAGTTTGTGCGTGTGTGAACTCACAGAGCAGCCGTCGACCAAGGCTTTGATGTAAGGGTTGGTCTCGTAGCTCAGCTCCTCGTCGTTGGCGCCCCGGAGGTGCAGCGCCCTGTCGTAGCTGTTCTTGGCGCTTTTGTCGGCCCAGGCCACTGAGCGGTGGCAGTGGTAGGTGAAGTTCTGGCGGGCCTGGACGCTCAAGAGACGCAGGAAGCCGAGCTGGACCACGGCCACAGGCTCGCCGTTAGAGTCCATGTAGGAGAACTGGGAGGAGGAGGAAGAAGGGGTGATATGAATATAGTAGGTGAGAACATTAGAAAACAAATTAGAAAACAAAAGTCTCACTCAGGGTTACTAACCTTACTACCAGTGGCGAACTGACTGTACCAGGATCCTGGAGTCTCTTTGTCCCAGGAGCTCATCTTCACCTGTCAGCAGAAACGTCCACATCACTTATTATAGTCAGACATGTTCAGTTCGATATGTTGATTCGTGCACGAATAAATAAAAACAGCTTGTGTGAGAAAATAATCGCTCATATCTCCTTAGTTTGACAATAAATGAAACACAGATGTGATTGGGGAATTAGTTTCTACACAGTTGTGTTTTTTTTTTTTTTTGCTGCATCATCCCTAAAATGTTTCGTTCGACTGTATTTCTTAACTTGCACTCAGAGATGTCACAGTGGTGCTGATTGGGTGACTGACCGTGTTGATGCTCTTGCTGGGATACAGGCACGTCTCTGCTCCGTTAGTGAAATTACAGAAGACCTTGAAGGAGTCTCTGGAGCAGCCCTGGTTGGGGTCGATCCAGTACTCTCCTGCAGAGGGTGACAGAGACAAAGCCGGGTGCAAAAAAATCTCTTAGTAAGTGTATTGAATTATTTTATTTGGTTGGAGTTCAGTATATGTTCTTAGTTGTTGTGTTTAAATATGTAATGAAAAAAAGAAGCGCTGTCCAGAATCATCCGCATGTTGAAACGACAAGATGGAGGGATCATTACTTTCAGCAGGTGGCTGGTAAACTTCAGGCTGAAGCCTCTTACCGTCTTTGAGGTCTGGCTGGCTGAGGTGCAGGTCCTGGCAGGTGCGGGCGGGGCTCTCCTGGGTGCCCAGAGGGAAGCGCATGGTCTCGATCTCCTGTCGGAGGGAGTTGAGAGAGCCGAAGATCTCCTCCATGCCTTCGCTGCCCATCAGGAACTCGGTGCCAGCGGTGTCAGATGCGGGCATGTCGGGGTCGGACTCGGGGAGCAGCTGGCTGGCGTCGATGGAGCGCTTGGACTTGGGACTCCTCTGGATGGGCAGGGGCTGAATGACCTCACCTGGGGGGCCCTGGGAGGCACGTTTACATTTCAATCAGTCAACTGACAAATGATAAATCCTACTTTTCCTGAAGTTTTCACAGAGAGAGGTGAAGTACTTACAGGAGGTCCAGGAGGTCCCTGCACTCCCTTTTCTCCCTTTGGACCGGCTCCTCCCTAAACACAACAGGAAGAGCAACGATTTGAGAAGCATTACAGCAGTAAATCACTTTCAGTGAACGATGTCACTCATATTGTGGAACACATTTGTAAAGTATACTCACACTAGCACCCTTAGCTCCCTTGATACCTTGAGGACCCTGGAAAAGACATCAGGCTTTAGTTTTTATGATGCTGATCAACTTCAGCGTTTCACCACTGTAACTGTTTACAATGAAACTCAAGAACATTATGTGAACGGAGCCAAGAGGAGGAAGACAGTGAGACGGGATGTTGATGGGATGAAAGAGGAGAATCACTCACAGGCAGACCAGGAGGACCAGCAGGGCCGATGGGTCCCGTGCCTCCAGACATTCCCTGTAACACACATGACGCATGAGACATGACATGAACGCATCTCACGCATTATATAAGTTGATGCGACAGCGGTCCGACTTACAGTCTCTCCTTTGGGTCCGGAGGATCCCTGAGGCCCAGGCAGACCTCGGTCTCCCTTCTCTCCCTGCTCTCCTGGGGGTCCGATGAGACCGATAAGACCTGGGTGTCCCTTCTCTCCCTTGGAACCGGGGTCTCCGCGCAGACCAGGCAAACCAGGAGGTCCCTGCAGGAGGAGAAGAAGAGGAAGAAGAGGAGAGGAGGAGGAGGACAGGGAGGAGGTGGTGGGGGAGACAGGAAACATGAAAAACAGGAGGTGAAGAAAGAGAGAGAGAGAGAGAGAGGGAGAGATGGAAGAGGTGGAGGATTGAGTGATGCGGCAGTAGGAGGTGTTTGATCCAAACTAGCTACTTTACAACTTAACAACTGTACTGCTGTGGATGTGTGGGTGAAAAGAAGAAGGTGTTGTTGTCTTACCAGGGGTCCAGGTGGTCCTTTCTGTCCGGCAGGTCCTGGAGATCCTTGCTCACCCTGAAACACAGGCACACATTAGCAGGTGACCATCCAACACATCGTACAACTAATGACCAATACAAAATACTAAGTAAAGTTAAATATTGTATTGTCTAGTTGCTGCATTGACAAATACAAAAATAATTCAGAGGCTTCACTGACCACTGATCCTGGGAGACCTCTGAGACCTTCTGTTCCTGGTTTCCCTGGTTGGCCCTGGGGGCCGACGGGGCCGGTTTTTCCTGGTGGGCCAACAGCACCTGGGTCTCCCTGTAAATGAGGATGATAAGAAAACATCAATAAAGTGTTTTCATGGGTTATTCTATGCATGATGGAACAGTATAAGTTATCACAGTTGGCTAACAAAAGAACAACATTCTCACTTTGCTAATGTTTTAATGGAAATGATCATCACCAGGGACCTTGGTATTTTTACTGTGTATACAGTGAGTTGAGCAGAACCACAAGGAGCTGAAAAATGCACTCAAAAGCTCTAGACTCACCTTGGTTCCCTTCTCTCCCTGACGTCCCTCTGGTCCTCTTGTTCCAGCTGGACCCTGGAGAGTTAAACATGTAACAGTGCATTTACAAACACAAAATGAGTTATATTCTGTAACTTCAAATTCCATAATTTAATCACATCCGTAATGAGACAGGTCACTGGATTATATCTGCACAACAAACACAGGAGGGAATCCAAACTGAATACAACATCACTGTCTGCACTTCTTATTGGACGCCGTACTGTTGAATCATTTGTACTTGTAAATTAAAATGTTTCTTCTCCTTTCAACTATCAGAGCAAACAATGAGGGCGACCTTACCCTCTTTCCTGGGGGGCCGGGAGGTCCGTTCTCACCAGGAGGTCCGGGGGAGCCCTGTAACAGGAGGCAGAGAGAGGAGATTCAGGTGATTTTAGAGACACATTTTATAAACCTTCATTCACATATCTGCTTTATTGCATGTTTTGACTTACAGACTCTCCCGCTTCACCATCTTCTCCTCTCTCTCCCTTGGCGCCATCTTGACCCTGAAGTAAAGCAGATCAGGGTTGGTGGTTTTTCTTCTTCTTGTACAGTAAAGTAAAAATCTCAAGACACCACGTGTATGAAACAAGCTGAACTGAACTGCCGGCAGCCACAGAAAACATGATTTGAAACATTTGTAATCTAACAGAACATATTATTGACAAGGTGTTTAAAAATACAGATACTCACTCTGGGTCCAACCTCACCAGGGGGACCAGGATCACCAGGGAAACCAACAGGACCCTGAAGGTGAGAAACAGAAGAATTTAGAGAGAAAATCCTTTGTTCATTCTGCTGTGGAGTCTAAAGTCATTGATCTGACTGCCAGTGTCAGTGGGTGTCATACAGGGTTTCCTTTGGGTCCGTCGTCTCCAGGTCGTCCTCGTCCTCCAGCGGGTCCAGCAGTTCCAGGTTGTCCGGCCTCTCCCTTCTCTCCGCGCTCCCCGCGAGGACCCTGGCGGCAGAAGCACCAAACTCTTTGTTAACTCATGGACGCTAATGACGAGTCAGTGAAGGGACAGTCTCCTCGTATCTCAACCCATAACGTGTTCGGGTCAGACGCTCACCTTCTTTCCAGGCTCTCCCACAATTCCAGGTGGTCCAGACTCACCAGGCTCTCCCTGCGGCGCAGACAGTATTTCTTTTAGTCATCAGGACAATGAATTCAGTTCTTATTTCTCTGGACACCATCAAACATCATTACATCTAATTAATTAAAAATTTGATCTATTCTTGCACCTTTTCTCCAAGAGATCCAGGATTACCAATACCACCAGGAGGACCTTGAGGACCCTGAAAAACACATATAAAAACAATTCAGATGAAAATATTTAATCATTTACATCAATTAAATATTGTTTTTTTTGTTTGTTTTTTTTAAACACTCACGTCAGCACCGTTGGGTCCAGCTGGGCCACGGGGTCCTGGAGGGCCTGGAGGACCCTGGAAAAATTAAAGAGAGTTGTGCTTGTATCATCATTTATGAATAGATCGTGATAAAACAAGACACTGAAGCAGGCATCGTGATAATTGTGTGTGTGTGTGTGTGTGTGTGTGTGTGTGTGTGTGAAACTCACCAGAGGTCCGACGTCTCCCGTCTCTCCCTTCTCACCTGGTGGTCCTGGCAGTCCCTGCAGGAGAAAGGTGACAGTTATGCAAACGCCAGTTGTACATAATTATGTTCATGAAACAAGTGTTGTGGCTTTCTGGGGTCTTTACCTGCAGTCCGATGGGTCCTGGGGCTCCTGGGAATCCTCTGGATCCCTCGTCACCTTTAGCTCCAAAAGGCCCCTGCTGACCCCTCGGGCCAAGCTCTCCATCAGCACCCTGCACCACAGAGGAAGATGAACGGACATATTCATGCGATTAACTTTTCCACTTGGTTAAGCCCTTTATCATGTGTGCATCTCCTGTATATACAATCAGGAACAAGCACAACTAACTGGCACTGCAAACTGTCAGATGTCTGTTGCAAAGAGTTAAAGTTTGAACTTACAGCAGGACCAGGCTGACCGACGGGACCCATTGGCCCAGGTGGACCCGGAGGACCCTACCAACAAACAAAAAAACAATGAGCAAGACGAAACAGCAGCCGCACGATAAACAGACAAACAGCATCATTATTCAGTATTTATTCATTAATTGAATTCTGATCATTTCCAATAGATATAAATCTTAGGGCTCTCAGGTCACTCACATGCTCTCCTTTCCCTCCTTTGGCGCCCTTCTGACCATGCTCCCCAACCTCACCCTGAAAAGACAAGGACACGTCACGTTATAGCAAAGTGCTGAAATGAATGATCATCACCCCTGATGAGAGCGCTGAGCCACACTGGACCTTATGACACATTACTCTGGACGATTAATAAAGTAACTCAGGTGGTTTTTACAAGGAGGTGTTGGTGTGAAGACTGTTACTTAGGGTTACTGGCCTTGTCTCCGTCCTCTCCGGGTACTCCAGGTGATCCGGCAGGGCCAGGCAGACCAACGGGACCCTGCACTCCATCACGGCCTGCCGGGCCAATAGGGCCTTTCTCGCCCTTAACAGGAGAAAAGGAGCAAAGTGGAAAATCAATAGTCGATCATTTTTCTTTGGCTGGACGGACGATGTTCAAGAGTCAAGTGCACTACTGCACACAGGAGAAAAATGTCCAGAATACTCACAGGGACTCCCTTCTCCCCAGCGTTTCCAGGAGGCCCCTGGGGGCCCGGTCTGCCAGGAGGTCCAACAGGTCCAGCAGTACCAGCTTGTCCCCTCTCACCAGGAGACCCCTAGAAAGGTACAATATCATGAAGATCGCACCAATTACAGCAGAAGACGGATGGACTGAGATACAAATACAAACGATGCTGATGCTGAAGTAAGTCACATCCTCTGCTGACAAACTACAGAGCTTCTATAGCTAGATATTACTGGTGTTGTTTTTGCTCCATTAGTTGGAGTTACAGTGTGATGGAAATGATCTTTTCACATGGTTTGAAACGTACAGCAGGTCCAGGAGGTCCAGCAGGTCCTTCACTTCCCTTCAGTCCTCCACCTCCCTGGAAAAGAAGACAAAAAGGGATGAATCTGTAATTTTTCAGCTCAGTTGCACACTTTTATCCAAAGGTCAATTTATTGCTATTAAGCGTCAGAGTCTGTGCCTGTCAATCTACACAGTATACTGTGTCTCTTGGTCAGACTCACAGGGGTTCCAGGCAGTCCTCTCTCTCCGGGGAAACCTCTCAGTCCAGGGGGCCCGTCCTTACCAGGGCCTCCTGGGGGTCCAGGGTCTCCCTTAGTGCCCTCCTTCCCTGAGGGACCAGGAAGTCCCTGCTCTCCAGGTGGACCTGGGGGTCCGGGGTGGCCGCGCTCACCCATGGGGCCGGTCTCTCCCGATGGGCCCTGGGAGGATGGAGAAATAGATGGAGATAGAGAGAGCAGAGAGGGGAAGAGGAACGAGGAAGTAAAAAGAGGAAAATGGAAGGAGGGTTTCCAGAAAAGAAAAAAACGAACGAAAGGAAAAGACGACAAGTTGTGTTGTTATGAAAACTGATGTGATTTATTGTATCGGTACTGACAAAATGATGCACCATGATGAGAAGACTCACCTGAGGTCCAACAACTCCGGGAGGCCCAGGTGGACCCATTTTACCTTGGAAACCCTGCAGGAGATAAACTCTGTTAACAGATAATCTACAACATGTTGAAACTCTATATAATTGTTGAGATGCATCATAATCCATGTGATCCACGTCTCATCATTAGAACAACTCAGCTGTTTTCTTTCTTTGGTGGAAAGGGTGTTTCGCCCTTTAATGATTCAACACATAACAGGAAGTAATGGGGTCACACCTGTTCTCCAGCATGTCAGCGGGAGAAGGAACTATGTAGAAATATTCCAGTGCACATCAGGAGTAACAGCAGCAACCTCAACATATCACTTCACCACTTCTTCATTTGTAATAATTCTGTATTGTAGCTCCCTCATGTTCGCTCATCACATGACCTGTGACGACTGAACACCTTTATTGTGACTGTGTAGTTATGTCAGTGCCTGGATCAGATACTGCATCTGAAGAAAAGCTTATAAAGGCACATAACTAACTGCACCTGATGTCGCTTTGAATCCAACCCACCTTCAAAGGGTGTCACCAAATAATTTACAGTCTCAAAATCAACAGAAAATGATGCAAAACACATAAATCATTTATCATTTTCCACAGTGTGAAAAAAACCCATCAGTAACAAACTAATCATTGACTGTTTGAATTTTATCAGGTATATTTTCAGGTGACTGACTGGATAATCAATCAAAAATCTAACTTACAACTTCTCCTCTCTGCCCGGGGTGTCCAGGCAGTCCGTCTTTTCCTGGTGGTCCCTGTAAGGAAACATCAAGTAAATATCAAATATGAATCAAATCTCCACCTTACGAGAGATTTTCCTAACAAGCAAGAGGGAACATCGAACACATGTTGGAACAATGTGCTATAACAGTCCTGTGAACGGCCGAGTGCTATCACCTTGAACATAAACCGAACCTACAATCAGTCTATAACAAACTGGTGTCAAAACATTTTCTTACAGGAGGTCCCTTTGGTCCGGGGAAACCGTTGGCTCCCTGAGGCCCGGGCAATCCCTGGTGAGACAACAACATATGATACAATAAGAACATATAACAATATCAAACACAGCCATTCAGTGTCTTATTAAAGCCTTAGAATATGAGGCACAGTTTTGAATGTAAGCTCTGACCAAGTGTCACCGAGCTTTCCTGTAATGAAAATGAAGCGCTTACCCTCTCTCCAAGAGGACCAGGAGGGCCATCGCTGCCCGAGGTTCCCTAACAGGAAACAATATAAAAACAACATAGTTAATAAACAGAAGAAGTAGATAGTCTTCACCTCAACTCTGAGCCAGGTTACTCTGAGGCAAAGATCTAAAAATAATATGTAAATGAATAAAAGGAATCAGGTGGTGTCCAGTTCTTTAGGCAAGACGGCAAAGAACAGTTTTCACTGAAATATCATCATAGTTTCAAATTTGAATTGTCAGATTGTTTGAGTTATTGAATTTAAAAAAGCAAACTATCCAAGTGTGGGTTCCATGAATAGGCAGTAAGTACAATATATAATGATTATGATGTAGGCAATGACTAACCATTAATAATGACCACATGATCATCATCAACAGCAATAATCATCATCACAATGGGACTCGCCAAGCACTTATATGGACACAAATAAATTTACTGTGTAGACAAACCTTTGCTCCTGGTTTCCCAGTTGCGCCCCTCGGTCCTCTCTGTCCTCTGGGGCCCTGATGGTCACAGACAGTAAGTCTTCATCAGTCAAACGCAATGCAAATGTGATGCTATGTGTAACTACACTGACACTGATAGCCAAATAGTTTTAAATGAACTGAATCATATCAAATCAGAGCTTGAAGAGTAACATAACGCCCTCTTGTTTTTGCTTTCATTTATCAACTTGCTTGCAGCAGAGCACATTTTGACAACCAACCACACCTCAGTGATGCTGGGTGTCATCAGAGGTGAAACAGGCTTGAAGTCTTTCGAACAGACTGATGTTAAGTTACTCTTCAATAGCGTGAGAAAACAAGCTGTGTTCAACAGCTTGACTGGAAGAAAGACCATCATCCTCTGAGCAGAGAGGCTTTGACAGATCGACTGAAAGAATGAATGACTGAATGTGAGACGGTACCGTTGGTCCTCTCTGTCCTCTTGGTCCTGCTTTGCCGCTGAGACCCTGGAAGAAAACAGTTACAGACTCGATCAGACAGAGGAAAAACTGGACATCATAACTTTATCTGGAGCATCCATCAGTCTAGATTATCTCTGCATAGATATACAGTGGGACAAAGAGCTGAGCATAAATCCCCCACAGAGCCATCCACTTACTCTTGTTCCTTTCTCGCCGTTTGAACCAGGGAATCCTGGGAATCCAAGAGATCCCTAAAAAACAAATCAACATCTCAACATCAGTTCTGCTTCTCACCAAAGAAGAATTCATCCTGGATGAATAAATGAGTCAGGATGGATGACAGATGCTGTATGAGTCTTCCTCTCACCTTGGGTCCTTGTCTTCCAGGATATCCAGGAAGTCCAGGTACGCCAAGTTTACCCTGGAATCACACAATGACATCATTAATCAATCGTGTTTAAAGGTTATTAACCTGTTCACAACAAACTGTATTACAAAGTTAGCAATAATGATTGCTTGAATTCAGGAATATATGCTATCATATGAAGGGTAAATAAGAGGCAGCCGATACTGTGCTGCAATCACATTAACATGCAGTAAAATTAATGACAAAATATCTTACAGAAACTCAAATTATAGTGTAAGGCAGATACTTGTAGTATAATTGTAAGATACTGTAAATTCCATTTTCCATCCATGACATCTGTTTCACTCAGGTGCACATACAACCACAAGAGGGCAGCACAATGCCATTTCTTCCTCTTATGTATTATCAAAACGATCATTTAATTTGAAGAAAATGGGAAATATCTTTAAGTCAATTTCACTTATAATAATGGATATATAAGAGACAAAGCAGGACATGATGTTCCTGATGATATCAGTGACCTCATCATGTTATTAAGAACCAGTCACGTAATCTCGTCCTCACTGAACGGGTCATACCTTCTCTCCAACAAGTCCAAGTGGTCCGAGCTCACCAGGGGGTCCGACGCGACCCTTTGGCCCCTCTGGACCGTCCTCTCCTCTGGGCCCTGGTACTCCAATCTCACCCTGTCAGCACGAGACAAATGAAAAACCATCAGAATAAATGAATATATGAAGAGGAATAACTCAGACAGTACAGCAAAGACATAAAAATGGCGATGAATAAGTTAATCGGTCAGTTCAGCCGTTCATCCATCCATTCATCATTACGTCAACAAACCAATCAACCATCCAGTTACTGCATCAATCCTTCTTACCCTCTCTCCCTTGGAACCAAAATCTCCTTTAATTCCAGGGAAACCATCTTCTCCCTAGAAACAAGCAAAACAAATATACATATGAAGCAAAAGGACCTGAACATGTCCTGTCTTTTATTTAACATTTTGCTAGTGTGCATCAACTAAAAGTGTAAATATCAGCTTAGTTTACCAGAGCGACTGTCAGAGAGACTGTTTACCAGAGAGACAGTATTTATCAAGTGATTCATGTGTATTTTGAAATATTACTTTGCCACTCACCTTCTCTCCCTTGTGGCCCTTCAGACCACGGATTCCTTGAGCTCCCTGCAGTCAAAGCAATAAATAATCAGAACAATGACATGATAAGGGATATTTAAGTCTCATGTTGGTTCAGTTTATTTACAGATGTAATACAAATAAGTCCCAAAAAAGCCTCACAATCAAAAACCCTTTTTACTGGTTTATAAAAGCTACCTGAAAGATGAAGTGTACTGACCTTGATGCCACGAGGGCCAGGATAGCCAATAGCTCCCTGGGGACCGTTGGGACCCTGAAGAAGGTCAAAGAAAGAAAGATGAGTTCCCAACACAATAAAATACCTTCAAGTCAATATGTTGGGTGTCATTTTTACATGGACAACTGCAACTATAAAGACATATTGAAAGTAACTGCACCGACGTTTTACTGTAAATGTGCATTTGAATCTAATTCTTTCAGTGTAATATGTTGTATATGTTTTTCCTGCTATGGGTCATATTTCATTGGTGAATTGACTTTGTTCGATGGAAGGGATGTGGACGTGGTGACTGACACCCACCTGGTTTCCTTTGGTGCCAGTAGGCCCCTCCTTTCCTGGGTGGCCCTGAGAAGAGAAGACAGAAAGCTCATCAGGTGTTGGTGTATTCAACTTAGTTCAGTTGTGATGATAAAGAAAAGGGAAGAGACAAACGTACAGGAGGGCCGTCAGCACCAGGCATTCCTGGCAGACCTGGTTTTCCTGTGGGACCCTGATGGAAAAGAAGACAAGGTGGTCACGAATGAAATAAATCAGTGGATATAAAACCCCACAAAGAGTCTTTATTTCAAATGTCTCATATCTGGATTAAATATTGATGCAATTTAGGTTGTGTTTGTTAGGAAGATCCTAAATCTGATTGCATCCATCTTGTTTTTCCAGAGCTAGATGCATGTGTCTGTAGATTGTACCCCAGTCCAGAGGGTGGTGCTATTGCTCCTGTACCTGTTTGGTAACTTCTATAAAACACCAGGAAACAAAGAACTTGTGCTAAAAATGGTTTAGTTACCAGGCCGACAGGTACCAGCCACACATGGATGACTCCCAGGGCTGAACTATGAGAGAGACACTCAGGCCTGATTCTCCCTCACCCATATAGATCGACAAGCACTTGCACTGATCAGGGATCAGATACTTACTATAAAGTTGTGTATTGTATATGAATGACCAAGAGTGCTTGCTCTCTGTTGCTTCATGTGACAGAGAGAAGGATGCATAATTTCAGTGTCATCTCAGTCGTACTTCAGCTGCCATTATCTCAGGGTGCAGGTGGGTTAATTAGTGAGACATACAGTATAGAAATGCATTTTTTAAAACCTTTGGACAGAGCCAGGTTAGCCCTTTTCCAGTCTTTAGGCTAAGCTGTGTATATTGGCTGCAAGTATATTGCTCCAAATGTCAAACTATTGCTTTAAAAGTCTAAAAGGGAGACGGACACAAAGAGTAATCATCAAGCAGAAACGCTCCTCGTCCCTTTATGTATTTAAATCCAGAATAAGACGTTATGTTACATCTAATCTAATCGAATATTTTGATTAAAACAGCATCTGCAATTTCCCCAGACCTCCTCAAAGAGCCACATCTGCCTGAACAGATGTTTTCTTGTTTATGTCTTTAGGGTTTAACAAGGGAAATCAATAAGTTCATCGAGGTCATCTTTATTATATAACTGCTGCTTGAATATATTTCCCTGAACAAGTTAACCATGGGTATCTTGTGGTTCTTCCAAGACAGAATAACCTTATATATTTTTGGTGTCTTACTTTCTCTCCTGGGGGTCCAATGGCTCCCTGAGGTCCTGGCATTCCCTGCAAAAATAATTAAATAAATAAGTAAAACAACAAACACATGAGACATAAGCACAACGTATGGAATGAATGCACACTCTCAATAATACAGCTTCCTCTTGTTTTTGTGTGCATGTGTGTGCACGCCTTTGCTCTTTATCATACAATTACTTAGTGAAAGGGGGAATATCACAAGTATGTGCCAACTGTCCTCTGTCTCACCTGAGTTCCTGGGGTTCCCTGCTGACCTGGAGGTCCTGGCTCTCCTTGGGGACCCTGAGACACACAGGGAGAATACGATAAGATAAAGTGATGACAAATGCAAAGACAGAAACAGCAGGACGAGAGAATCATATCTCAGAATTACTCATGAGAAAGGCTTTGTATCATAACGACTACTGCTCTAATTATCTTCTGATTCAAAAGTACAAAGTTACATGACAACATGGTAGATAACTTATAACTTATAGTGCCACTGACCAAGTTTCCTTTGGGACCTTGGTGCCCGTCATTTCCTCGTACACCCTGAGGAGAAGAGAAGATGCACAGAGAGGAAAATCAGAATCTCAATGATTTCAAACAATTCACACAGTTGCAAATATTAATAACTGAGATGAAGTCTTCTATCCAGAGTACATTTTCATGACCACAGTGGGAACTGACACTATCCTTGCTAGTGCCCTGGTCAAGGTCACTCACAGCAAATAATAGATTTTGGTGATGGTGTTAGAGTGTGTCTTTGGATCTGGATCAGGCACTTAAATCCAGCTGCCGTCTGTTTACTGTTCTGTGATTTGCGTCTGCAGAGGAAGCTGTGTGAAATCTGATAAATTGCCCCGAGTGATTGACTTGAGTCAGAGTTGGTTGGGGGGTGAAGACCACAAGTTCGACAATGAAAGAAATCAGTGTGTGAGCCGTCACAGTTGAGTCACATTAGCAGACCTCTGTATCCCGCTCCTCATCTCTGCTTGAGGTTAGATACATTAGTCGCTACTAGTATAAAGTTCCCAAACCACTGACTGACCTGTCAGCAGTTAAGATGCACTGGGTAATGTAAGTGCCAGGATGGAGAATACATGGAATAAAAATGCTAAAACACTATCTCTGGTTCTTCCGTGCCAAGGTTTGACCCTTTTTAAAAAGAAATCTGAGTCTGACAATGTGACAGGAGTGAAATGCTAAATCTGTGGAGCACTCTTTTAAAGGCAGAGCTCTACCACTTCAGCCAAACAACTCCAGGACATATGTATATATAAAGTTTGAGTGTCAAATGGATACTGTGGACTTGGGCCATACTGGGTATCTTGGTGTTGTTTTGAGGTGACTGTGGGAACATTACATGTTCATTTTTAGATTACTGCATATCCCCGTCTTTACATCAGGTCGCAGGGTGTTGTTTCGGGAGCTGCTGTGGGTGTTCAGTGGTCAGAGAGGGAAAAAACAGTGTTGCCAAAATAACAGCAGCAAGATGGACTTTGAAATTGTTTTTACTCACAGGAGGTCCAGGGATTCCAGGAGGACCTTTGGGTCCGAGCAAACCGCGAGGTCCCTAGAGACACGTGTACATTAGTAAAGAGACACACACACACACACACACACACACACACAGACACAAACGGTCGTGAATGACATATTCAAACAGCCATACACACTGCATTCCAAAATGAATCATAATGTAGATGAACATTAACAGGAGGTCAAAGGTCAACAACAGCTAGATCAGCGACATTAGCATCAGGTCAAACTGACAAATGAAACTAATACAGCTATTAAATTTAATATCAGTTGGTTTGTCATGGAAACACTCACTGGTTCACCTGGGAGACCCCTGGGTCCAACGTCTCCGTCGTCTCCCTGGAAACACACAGAAACAACACGTCAGGGACGGACAGAGGCTGATTATTATTATTAGGTGTTTTTGAATAGTGCCTGGGATCATTTCAGATTCTTTTCTCCTATCTTCATACCCTCTCTCCGTCCTCTCCTTGGGATCCTGGGGGTCCCATTGGTCCTGTGTCACCCTGTGGAGATGAGAGAGTGGAGGAGTGAGGGATCAGAAAATTCTTTAATTCTGCTTATGAACAGATATTCAAGTATTAATGTTGTTAAAGTCTGCTGACGCGTTCTGAACTGTCGCACTGTGTCAAGTGTAGGTGGCATTGTGATTGTTTTGCTGTTGACTCACCCTGTGTCCTTTGTCACCGGGCAAACCAGGAAGACCATCAAAACCACGGTCACCCTGAGAGAGACACACAGACATGTGAGGTGTTATTACCGTATTGTAGGAGATGGAAATGCATCACACGTGGAGTTGATGCATCAGTACTGTGTTTGAACTTTTGATTTGCACACAGCAGTGGGTTTTTGGGACACCAGAGAAAGCAAGTGATGCTGAAGCGAACCCAGCAAGACCAAGAACGAGTAAAAGCTTTTTTTTATCATTTATCATTTCACATCAGCATTTAAAAAATGTTTAATTACAAGGCAACATATTTACTGCTGAAATCCCAGTTACAGAATGAATTTGGATGTCTATTAACTAATGGCACCAGAGAGAGGTTACCTTAGATCCAGACTCTCCTGGCATTCCCCTGGCACCATCAGCTCCAGCGCGGCCCTGTTAGGAGACAAGCAGAGGGACAGTCGTACCATTCACCTAATACTCATGTTTTGTTATTGACAGGGCATGCTTGGCTTCTGGACTGGCAAAAACCCCAATTAAAGAAAGTAAATACGAGACACAGCGGCTGTTTTGTATACTCACTCTTCTTCCTGCTTTGCCTGGAGGTCCCATCAAACCCTGGGGTCCCCTGGGGCCCTGACAAATGAATTAGATGTCTGTGATAAATGCCTGTCATACTGCAGATCTACGCTGAGCGCAGCTCAATAATAACATACACAATAGTGTAAAGGTAAAAGGAGGGTTAATGACATGATTTGACATAAAAATGATTTCAATGATTTGATTTGGTTGTGAGGTCAGAGGTCAGTGTTTTTACCTGAGGACCGGGGTCTCCGCTCTCTCCCTTCAGACCAGGACTTCCAGGACTTCCCTGAAACACACACAATCATCATCAACACCTCCAAAACTATTCATCCTGTCACCCTCCCTTAATGATGAGCAAGACACATGAGAGCTGTTTTGGCATTTGAGACTTCACAAACAAGCTTATAAGAGACCTATTATGGGATCAAAACCCTTGTCATGTGTCAAACTCTTTTTGTGTTGTGTAGAAGCAGCTGGACTGTAAAAGGGTCCAGATGACTGGTAACATACCAGGGGTCCAGGGCGTCCAGTGAATCCCATGGGTCCAGGAGGTCCTTTCAGAGCCATCTAGAGACAACAACACTTCATCATCAGTGATCATGGAGACACATGGCTGCTTGTGATGTTGGTGATGTAGGAGGAAAAGGACAATCTCCTTTTCATACTCATGTCTTTAAAGATGTTGACAATCTCAGACAATGGTGAAGCCTCAAGGCTCCATATGGTCCTTGAAAGACAATGAAGTGCGCAGTGTAAATGTTAAATAAACGTGGGGACTGACCCTGGCCTGAGACAAGATGGCTGCTGCCTGGGCTTCCTGTGCAGAGACAACCGGACCCTTATCTCCTCCACTCTGACCAAAACGGAACTGCAAGAAGAAAAGAAAGAACAAAAAAGAAAGATAAATTCAATATTATTTATTAACAAAAAACACTAATGAAGTTTGAACTGATAAAGAAAAAAATAAAAACATGGTGGCAGGTTTATAGACTGGAGCTGTGGTCAACGACAAACCTTTAGCTTATTGGCAGTGGATGTGTTTGAGTGGTCAGAGCCGGCATCCAGCCATTGTAATGAACACACAAAACAATACAGAATAAGGAGGAAGGGCCTCTGTTACACCTTAAAAGCATCTGCAAAACAATTACCCATCTTGGCTCAGACATCACTCACATGTGCGGCCATTCAAACAGCAGCCCTCTCTAACAAAAGGACCAAAAGGTAAGAGCGACTCACAGGCAGCATCACTGAGGTTCCAGGAGGTCCAGGGACTCCATCAGCTCCAGGCAGACCAGCTCTACCAGGAGGACCCTGAAGGATGGAGAGATGGAGCGGTGAGCTCGCAGGTTCGAGCGGAAATGAAATGCGCTTCTGTGCATGCGCAATGACCTATATATGTCTCATTTTGTCTGTGCACAGATTCAGCGCTAATGTCTCTACAAACCTACATTTCTTCAGACAAAGTGAAACACTCACCCTCTCGCCAGGGTCGCCAACAGAGCCAGGAGGTCCAGAGGGGCCGGAGGGGCCGGAAAGACCCTGAAAGAGGCGGGGGGAAGAGTCTTGAGTTTGTTATTTTGTTGTTTGTTGAAGTGGTCATTTTCTAGGTCACTGTCAGGTGCAGTTTGATTGCGGTGTTGCATAGGAATATCCTACACATTACACTCCAGAAATAATGTTAATGTAATAACAAACTTGCAACAAACAAGTTATTTTACTACTTAAATAATTCACAGGGTACTAACCTAGAGTGTATCTAATATTTAAAGGTGGGTGAGTAAAATTTCTTGAGGAAAGAAAACAACCATCATTTACTTACAGCAGGTCCCTCAGGTCCTGGAGGGCCTTCAATCAGCATACCCTGCAGAAATAAAACACGTTAAAAATGTAATGCAGGAGGATGAAACCCAACAAAAAGGAACATAGAAATCAGTACAAGTCATTACTCCGTTAATCTCCTGTGATTTTGTGCGATAAAGTTTGTTTGTTCGTACAGTACCTTAAATAGATCAACTCATTAACTACAAACACGTTCTTGAATTGTACTGGAAAGATCTGCCCCTTTCTACGGCTGCATTTAAGGTCAAATAACGTATTTGAGTAACTTAGGAATGAAACATGCACTGATGAGAATAATCATTTTAGATGATGTTCAGCCTCTTAGCGGGTCAAGAGGACAAGATGCTGAGATTCGTCATTAGTAGCTTGTGGGATAAAGTGTCTGTGGGAAGCGTTTCCTCTCCGTGACAGAGTAAACCTGTTTATATACACCTACTCATGTAAATCTGCTTAAAGACAATTAGTGACTCACAGGCTCCAGGACGGCAGGTTCTCCTTTCTCTCCTTTCTGGCCTCTGACGGCGGCCTGAGGAAAACACACATGTAGCCAACAACACAGCGCAGTCAGTACAGAGGTACTTTACACACACCCGTTGAAAACACACTCACAGAAAGCATTATGGCAGATAATGGTGTTTTGGCTTTATGCGCTGAGACAACAGGAAGACGCACACTTACAGAAACACACCCACATTCATTTACCACACGATATTAGACACTATTGTTCCAGCGTAGAAAACAGATAATGAAACGAAAACCTGTTTGACTTGCGATAAAGACATAAAGCTTTTCGTCCAAATACCGATGATTTAATGGTTCTCCAAACTGTCGCTCCTTTACTTGCAGAATTGTTAACGGAGAATCGTCTGGGCTCAGCAGCTCTAAGTGAAGCCATACACTGAGAGAAAGGGCATCCAAAACAAAAGACGCAGCAAGCAGCCACTTGCTCTTTGCGCTTTGAAATGCCTCTTTATGCAGTGTATGCAAAGTTCAAGTTATTGCTGATGTTTATTATGATCCCAAATAGCTTCTACCACGGTAATAGCTATTCTCCCAGGGCTCCTGTGGTGCTCACTATACAGCGTATAGAATAAAACCCATTTCAACCACGATGAGGAGACTAGGTCTCGATGCATTCAAACTCAGGTTTCTCTGTGACTGATTGAGCTTGCCCGGTATGAAATTAAATCTAGGAATAGACTTTACTTTCATGGCGGCCATTTTTAATTTACTTGGATGACACTGTGGGTAGGAAACTTAAACACTTGTTAACAACCAGTCCTTAAAATGAATACAAAGGTAGACTGAGGGTTTTATTTTTAAGGTCAAGTTTAAACAGGTTACTATGGTCAAAGATGTAGCTCGTCCTCGTCCGTACTCATGACTATATTCTCCCTCCCAGTATTACAGGTACCGTGTGTTCAAATTAGCCACCATGGGTGAGAAGGGACTCCAAAAGAGGGCAAACTCAAACAAGTCATTTAAGAGGACATTGAATACAATTCGACAAAGACTAGGACTCAGAGTTGGTTGAAATCGATTTTGTTTCGTTTTTTGTTTTTTGTTTTGCCCCTGAAGCAAAAACGACTTACGCCTCCCTCGTCTGTCACAGCGGACAGGGCGGGGCCCATGTTGGCATCGACCTCTCCAGTCTCCATTATCGGCTCATTGTAGTCCCTGTAGGAATAGTCGTATTCCTTCTCGTCCCCTGTCACATACTCCTCAGTGAAGACCTCCTCGCCCGCTCCGCCTGCCTTGGTGGCCTCTACCTCCTCTCCCACCAGTTTTGTCTCCACCTGGGGCTGGGTTGGGTTTATCAAAGCCGCAAATGGGATAGATGGAGGGGCACGAGAGGATGAATCAAGCAAAGGAAGAAGAAAAAAAAAGGATGCGAGAGGAAGAAGGGACAGTGAAAGCAGGAGGGAGAGGTATGTATGATGGGGAAATGTCATTATAGGAAAGAGAAATACAGAATGAAACAACAGGGGGAGTGGAGGAGAGGGGCATATATAGAAAAAAGTGAGTCTTACCTTTTGCAAATAAACAGTGACATAGGGACAGAAAACAAATAGAGATCTGACAGACTGTGGGGACTCTATCAGTCCTTCACGCCTTAACTTCAGGCTTCAGGTTTATCCTGCGACCTAATATCTTCTGTTAATCATCTATTAAGCTTATAATAGCATGTGTTTCCATCAAAGCGTGTCATCATCAGCTTGTGTGTGATGACCTGAAACAAATTGATTTCTCCAAATTTGCCTAAATATATGATCTGACATTGTAAAAGTTCCTAAACACACAGAACTGATACGAAACACTTTGTGAAAACAGGCTGCTGCTGTGTGCTACGCTACGCAAAGCAGGAACTGTGTTATACAGTAGTCCATGTTACTTACCGTGGGGGTTTTCAAAACAAACATGAATCCAGTGGATTTATGCCGTACAGATGAATACATGTGAAACACTATCCCAACAAACTGTGAACAATAAGTCTACTTGTTCCTAAAATATACAGTACAGACTGGCTGACGTCTCTCTCTCCAGAACGGTAGCAAAAACATTCTTAGCATCAACATTGAAAACCAAAACAAAGTCATCAAAGTCAGCTTATACAGATCAAATGGTAATGATGACAATATGGATTATTGCCAGGATAAGTGAACTGTGAGAAACAAATCAGAACTGTGAGAAACTCATTCTCAATTTCTGAGTGTAGGGCTGCAACGTGAACCACAGCAACTACTGTATTCTCTAGTTCAGTTAGATTTTTCTCCCAAACAAGAATGCATTATATCCATCTCCTGTTGTTGCCGTGGTTAAATGTGCACATCAAATATTCCTATGTGAATCCCTTTTTCACAAGAATTTTTTGTTCTTATGACAAGACCTCAAACCGATCAACCCAAGAATCTTGCGATGAGAACAGAACGGGGATCTTGTTGTTAGGGAAAAGGGGAGCCACATAAAAATGTTTGATGATACAAGCAGATGAATGTGGTGCATTCTCTTTTGAAAGAGGTTTTTCTCTTATGTCTTGTCACGTGGCATCGGTGCCAACGAAACAGTGATGTGTTGGTTAGAGAAGTGTAAAGAGAGCTATGGCTACTTGGTTAAACTATGAAGACTGGGCTCACCACCACATAGTATTACACCGTCTTCTCCCTTAGGTGATAGAAGTCTCTTGTATTGAGGTGATGATTTATTCTTGTTTTTCTATTCTTGAAGTATTTATACTATAAATCTACATGGAGATTTGGCATTTAATTTACATACATGTTGTTCTCTATAAGGTTTATCTATCCTGTCCTCTTTGACTATTTCATGTCCTTGATTCTGTGTCACTGCTCAGTGTGTACTTTTCTTTTTACCTGCACAGGGACCACTTCATGTCCAATCACCTCACCCTCTGGCAGTGGGTCCGTCTCCTCATAGTAATAATCAGTCTCTGTAGCGGTGTGGCCAGCCTCGGTATATTCAGTGCCTACATCCTGATTGGTCAAGTTGACAGGAATTGGGGAGCAGGGAGGAAGTAAGCAGATTTGATTGGAAGAGCGTGGTTAGTTCAAAGTCTGCTTGTAGGTAATGATGAGTTAAAAGAAGAAAATGGAACACATCATAAAACTGTGGTTGCCAGAGGCAAAGAAATGTTTAGTGGCAACTCACATTTTTAAAGTTGTAAAGATCCATTTTAGAAAAGAAACTTCAGGTAGTTTCAGAGTCTCAGTGACTATAAATTTTGTCATATGCAAGATTTAGGGAGTCATTGAGACTTCATTGCTGAGATTTCTTTTCATTGTATTGTTGAACCATTTTTGCTTTTTAAAGTCCACAAAGCCAAGATTCATGAAAGGGTGAAGTCTGCCCTCAGAGGAGGTAGGACTGAGAGCCTCTATCCATCCCTTCAGATGAAAACATCATGACCTGATGCTTTGGGATGTCTAGTTTCACCCAAGACCAGAAAACAGAGAGACAACCCAAATCAACAGCCTCACAGAACATAATTCTGTTCAGTCAATATAACAGTCAACGCATGCTATAAATGAATTTTTCAGACCCCCCTGAAGACCATGAACCTCACAGTGTCTCTCTATGAAGCGGCCACGCTTCACAGTAGATTGCACAGTGAATGAAATTGAACCTGTAATGAAAGCAAACTTAAAGCTCGCCTTTTACATTCTGTGAGGCTGATTTATTCATATTTGAAAAAACAATATGACCAGAGACAGGGGGACAGGTGTCAGAGAGAAAACACAGGTACTTCAAAAACTGAAAGAAAGAGAATGACAGAGTGACAGAGGAGGTTTGTTGTGTTGCATGTGTGTAGAATGTGACAGTATTTGTGTTTTCTCAGGTTTAGTTTCTGTGCCATAGCAATCCATGCTCATTCATTCGACTGGTTTCCCCCGAAAAGAAAGAGACGGAGCGATGGAGTGTATTCAGGTTCTGAGATCCAGTTTCAGCAACTTGAAGGTAGGAGTATGAAGTGAAGTAAAGAACAATGAAACTGTACAATTAGCCATGCTTCAATGTGCACCGCTGTATCATATCATATGGAGCAGTTGGTGTGATCATGAAGATCATATGATATATAAACAGAGGAGAAGGCGCCCAGCTCGGTATGAACCCTTCCATTCTGAAGACCAGATTGTCCACCATTAAGGATTTACATCAAAATTTGCACTGCCAGCCTCCTACTGAGAGACCAAACTACTCATAAAAGACTCCCCCTACATGGCAAGTTTCACAAGAATTTTGCTGCAGACCCTGGATGGTGGAAAGAGCTGGCAACCAGATGGGACAGACGGGACATACGACTCTGGACATTCCGACCCAAACATGAGCCCTCCTGTTGTACCTGTTGATAACCGTTGGTAATTTTCTTCGCTGGGACGACAGTTCCACTCAGCGCAGTCTTGCCAAAGGGTGGGAAAGGTTTGTGCTGGGATTTGACATTAATGTCCACCATCTTGGATTTTGTGGGTCTGGGTGGAGTGGGCCTGGCAGCGGCAGATGTTGGAGCTACTTTCTTCGAAACCTTTTCGACCACATTCTTCACTACTTTGCTCGCTGTTGATTTGACCAGAGGGACTTTGGTGACCACAGTTTTAACTTTGATCTCTGTCTTCACTTGGGTTTTTGCTGCAGCAGCTTTGGTGGCCACAGCCTTTGCCGTCTTTGTAGGTTCAGGTTTTGATGCTTTTGTGGGTTTAGGTGTCTTGGTAGCTTCTACTTTGGCAGCTGATTTAGCTGCACTGAACACAGTCTTTTCTATCTTTTCTACTTTAACAACTTTCTCAGTCTTTGATTTTGTAGTGGTTTCAGTTTTAGCCTGATTTGCAGCACTGATGACTTTCTTTTCTACCACAGTGATAACTTTGCCATTGCCATTAGCCTTAGCTTCACCATTGACTTTATTCTCAGCTTTGCCATTAATTTTGACTTTAACCTCTTTAACTTCAATGGTAGTTTTACCATTCCCATTGGCTTTCTTGTCTGCTGTAGCTTTGCCATTACCGTTTCCATTAGCCTTAGACACAACAGTGGCTTTTCCGTTTCCATTGACTTTCTTTTCTGCTGAGGATTTTCCATTTCCATTACCATTGACTTTCTTCTCAATTACAACCTTGCCATTGATCTTGGCCTGAGCTGTAAGCTTAGCTTCAGCTGTAGCTTTGCCATTGCCGTTAGTTTTGGTTATAGCTTCTTTTCCATTGCCATTGGCTTTAGCTGCACCATTTGCTTTCTTCTCAGCAGCTGCTTTACCATTGCCAACTGTCAGCTTAGATTTGACTGCTGCTGTTGGTTTGATCTTAGACAGGAGGATCTCTACTGCAGTGGGCTTTGCCTTGGATGTCTTGGCTGTGGAGGACTTGGAAACTTTGGTGAGCAAAGGAGGCTTGACTACAAGTTTGTATGATCCAGTCCTGGCCGGCTTAGCTGGAGTGGGTTTGGCTTTGACAGGGGTGGTTTTAGTGGGGGCCACTTTTCCATTAAGCGCCTTCTTCTAATATCCGTGATTATTGTTTGGTTGAGATGTTGTTTAGTATGTAAAAGTGCATATTGACAAAGACAGGGAGAGAGAGTGGAGGAAGACAAAGATACATGGAGGGGTTGGGAGGGGGATGAAAAGCACAAACAAGGGATGGACAGAAGGAGAGAGAAAGACAAGAGTGGATGTTTTGAGAAACAATGACATAAAGATGGCTAAGGCTTGGATGATTTACTGAGACTGTACAGGCATTACTGGATACAGCAGAGGATTAATACAAGTTTTAAAATGGGAAACAAAAATACAACTGAAAAAACTACATGTAAAAATCAAAATTCATCAAATCAAAAAAAGACATTTGAGAAATTTCATGTCTTTGACCCAAGTCATTTGGAGCAATTTTTTGCTGATCTCTCCAGTAATGCCATTCCCAATATTAAATGACAAAGCAGCATCTTGGTGCTAATAGGAACTGGAGCCTGTGGTTTGGCAGAGGCACTGAGGGTGTGACTGGTCAGGTAAAGCTGGTGCTGAACTCACACACACACTGCACAGACACACACACACACAAAACGTACACATCACTGATGCACTGACCTGCCGCGCTCATACACACATGCCGTTGATAATGCACTGAGCAGTCCAACTACCAGACAGAGATGGTTGCTGCAGTTCAGCCATGCAAAGGAGGGAGGACAGATGCCAGGCTTGCATGCAAAGGAAAGTTAGTCACATGAAACCACAAAATGAAAACCACTGTGCATGATTAATTATACTTCTCGTGCTGCTACAATGAAAATACATGCAAACTAACACTGTAAACAAACTGACCAAAAAAAAAAAAAATTCACCCAAATAATATAGCGTGGGGAAAACAGGCCATCACCGGTGATATAAACTCCTCACATATGCAATACAGAACAGAAACAGACTTAAAGGAGACAGACTGTGGCATACATGTATGTCATGTATGCCATACAAAGGTCAGATGTACAACCATGAATGCATTTACCAACACAAAAAACATGTGCATTGATATTCCCATGTTGACTGGAAAACTGGTTTGGAAACTGGTGACACAGAAGTACAGTAGGTGCATGCGGTGACATCCTCCAAGACAATCAAGAAATCATGCAAGTAACAAGACAATACAGACACATGCCCCGATCAAATAGCGTTGCAAATCTGTCTAGGTTTTCTGTGAAGCTGAATGGGTGGGGTTTGTCATAAACATGACCGTGCAATGAGTGCTAGAAAATTCAAACAATCACAGGAAAGCGTGTGCAAGTCAAATAACTATGCTGTTCTGCGATCATCTTCTTAAACACCCGCTGGGTGACAAACCCCACCTACCCCGTACACAAAGAATTAATGAAACGTATTTACAAAGACTATTTGACCGAGATGACATAAAGAGAAGGCTGCCCTGCGCTTTCTTATTTGTTTCCTGTGCTAACCTGTATTTCATGTGCTCAGTTTGTCATCAAACACAAAACAATCAGTCATCGTGTAGTTCACTGGTTTGATTTGGTGATATCAGCAAACTCGCACAGTAAAACCAGACGTGATTTTAAGAAACCTCTGTTAACAGTCTTGAAAAATTCTAGGTAAATGTATATATATATATATATTTCAATGTCAGGCTATTTGCTTTTTCTTATGGCATAATTTCATCCAAAATTCTGTGAACATACTGTAGATGTGAGAATGTTTGTGATGCAAATTTAATCTTATTCCTTGTCAGCGTGGAACGGGATGGGATATGTGAAGTAGGAGTGAATACTGGAAAACTGAGTGGAGAAGAATGTGGAAACCAAAAAAAAAAAAAAAGTGTGCATGTGTGTATAACAACACAGCTGCACCTAAACCACCCTAGTGCCCCCACTTGGCCACATCTGAACACACACACATATATGACAACATGTAAATGACATGAGGACAAAAAAAAAAAAAAATCACAAGGAGCAGAGGTAATCCTGTGTGACGGAGATGGTGGAAACGAGGTGGATGTGTGAGAGGTGGATGTGGATTAAAGAAGAGGTGAGATATGATTAAAACAAGGGAGGTATGGAGTGATGAGGGATGAGAGAGGTATATGGAGTGGTAAAAGGGAAAATGCAGATATATTTTAGGGAATATTTACTGTAAATTTAGTTGACACTCAAATATTCAACAAGCTAAACCTACATAATGAATTATTCCTCAGTTATGGCTTTAATACCTCTCTCTCTCATTCTCCTTCCCTTCCACAAACCCAGCTCGTGTTTTCCCTCTCTCTTGCTCCCTCTTTACCTGTAGATCGGGGGCCCCAGGTGGGGGAGAGGGGGGCGCAGAGGAGGAGGGAACGCCTGTTGTTTCCTCATAATAATAGGGGTATTCATGGTCATCCTGCTCCTCATCAAAGTACTGAGAGAGGTGGAGGGATGGAAGAATTGAAAGATGGGAAGGATGGACAGAGAGATGGTTTGGCAGGGGGGGGGGGCATGAAAGCGAGATGAATGGAGGGAGAGGAATTCGTGAAGAGGGGGAGAGTGGATATCCAGGGGGTTACAGAGAAGGGGTGAAGCAGGAAGGGGGGGGGGGGTAAAACATGGTGATAGACAGCAAAGGAGATAATGACAAAATGCAAAGCTTTTATTTTTCCATTCATTAGAGGGAGTCCGTGCCGCTGGTTCAAAGGTGTTGATATTTAAAATGTCGGCACACAGACGACCTCCATGAACAAGAAAAAACAGCAAAAAAAAAAAGAAAAAAAAGGGTGAAGCCAATGAATAAAACCACACTGATTTATATTCATTCAGAAAGCGGTCATCTCAACAGCATCAACATGACAGGGTTTGGGACACAAAGTGTTGGAGCTCTGTACAGTGTCTGACACTCTATACTGACTTAAGATCCGGCATGCATACTTAAAACACAGATCAGGTACTTTGGATGAATGAATGTGGATGACAGTCACTTGCTACTTTTAGCTGCTGGTGTCAGGGAGCTGTCAGCCTCCAGAGATCAGTAACTTTTTGAGAGAAAAACAATGAGGAAGAGCTTGCAAAGCTGATAATACATGTAATGTGCACAACCAGTCTCAGTAAGCAAAGAGGCTCCACCTTAAGCCATCTTCATGCCAAATCCTTATGTTTCTCAATTTAACCAGAAAACCAATCAGAATTTAACTTCGTTTGTTTTATGCACTGAACAAATTCTGTCTTCAGTCCATAGGAGGAAATTGGGGAAGACATTGACGTTGGCTTGTATCATCCTCTTTCCCCTACCTTTCTGTGTTCCACTGCAGCAGAGCAGAAACGAACAGTGGCAACTAGTCCACTGCCGTAACAATTGAAGCTCATGTCTCTCCACAGCGAGGTGCATGAAATGATGGAAACGTGCCCGTTCGTAGAGGTGTGGTTTATGTTATGTTAGGACAAGGCCTCTGCTTTTCTTTAGTTACCTCAGGGACACACAGACTGGGGAGGTGAGGAGGAAAGTGGATGGATACAAACTGTTGCTGATGACGGGGATGCGTGAGGAAGACAGGAAGGGAGAGCAGCACTTTGATGACATCATCAGATGACTTATCATTATCAAACTGAACCTGAGGACTTTTCTTTCATTTTTCTGACCGGTGCACTTATTGTGGCTGTTGTTTTTACTCTCTGATCACATTTTCCTGCGGTGTAGCTTCCCTAATGCAAATTATATTTTACAGACTTAATTTCTTTATGTTTGGAGTGAACTTTACAACGCTCCTCTGAGACGAAACCTGCACATTGGGAGGAGCTTGAAGCAAACATTTTTCTTTAAAGGTGAGATTCCTGACTTAACTGACCCTCTAAATTATTTTTATGTACAAAGAGGCTTCAATCCATTTCCGGTCTCCTTTACCATAGAATACACATGACCATCATTTAGAAAGGAAAAGCCATTCTGCAGTATTTTGGTCTCAAAACTTGCCTTTTCTGTTTTCATTTTTAGCACTCATTTCCCTAAATTCTCAAGATTCCTCCTTCATTTTGTGATTTCCATTTATTTCAAGAAAAAGTTTCTTTTTTAGACTCTTCAGATACAATGAATAGTTTAACAGTTTTCTTTCTCCAAATAAATAAAGTGCCACAGAAAAGGAAAACAAAGTCCACTGATTCAGTTTGGGCCCGCTTCACTGGAGCTACAGATGAGCCTACTATTTAATGACTGAACCGTGTTAGCATAGTGCTAGCAGCCTGACGTTATCTGCTGTGTAACTGATGCTACTCAGGAGTCTTGTAAGTGCTGGTGGATTCATGTGTGTCGGTAGTATTCACTTTGTGTATTCACTGTGAACGACTGAGACCTCATCCTGCAGGAACCTTTCTAAGATGAAGTGAGTGAGTGAAACATAAAAGCTACTTATTGTCGGCTGCGGGAAGGTTTTAAGAAGTTGAACTGTTTCGATTGAAGTTTCATCAGTGCGGAGGAGGAGGAAATGTTGATTGCGTACGTCTGCGTATGAAGTGGTGTTGTGATGGTGTTACTCACGTATGTGTTGGGGTCCTGAGCCTGGGTCTTGGGCAGAGGGGAGTCACAGTCAGGGCTGTAGTGTTCACAGAAGTCATAGGCAGCCTGGGGGTTGGAGGCGATCAGCAGCTGCTGGATGTCTCCCTGTGGAGGAAAAACAAACAGGTGCGTCATTTATCATGAGGCTGAGGGGGAAGTTTTCATCTCAATCAATGCCACCGTTGATGACATGAAGTTGCTACCTTGTGAAGTGAGCACAAAAGTAAGACTGCAGACTGCTACAGTCAGTTTAACCTGACATCAGCCACCCAACCAATATCTGGAAAGTGTGTCCCTTGTTGATTACGTTTATCAAAGCCCTCACCTGGAAAACCTCCTCATCAAGCAGACGGGCTCCGAACACTGTGATGCCATTGGTGTCGACCTCAGCGTTGTTGCCCCGGGGCAGGGGGCGGGTCATCTTCTTCTTGCAGTCCAGCAGCAGAGTCACGTTTTTCTTGGAAACGGAGAAAGCGATGCGATGCCACCTAGAGACGAGGAGGAGGAAGCGAAGGCGAATAAATGTGTAATGTGACGACAGGTCTGATTAAACAGGTGTCTAACCCCAACTCATGTAAACACTCATTCCACACACACTACTCCCAGCCACTCGCACCCACATGACCCCAATCGTGTCATCTCAACCAGTCACAAACTGGTTGTTGCTGGTTACTGACTTGCCATCAGCCAGGTTGACGCCTCTGAACAGCGGGTAGTCCTCGGGGGCTGGCTTGCCGTTCTGGTCCTCGTACAGGAAAACAGGAGAGCGTCCCAGCTCGATGCCCAGCTGCTGGATGCCCTGCTCACTGTAGATGGAGAGGAGGAAGGCCTGGAGACCAGCATGGGCCTTAACCAGAGCCATGATGGAGAAGTTCTCCGGGAAACGACCTGCGGATGAGGGAAGGGAGGAGAGAGACGATGAAAGAAGGGAGGGATTAGATCACAGACTGGCTTGTGGGTATTTCAAATGAGGAGGCAGTAGGAGGGTGTGTAGACTGACCTGGACCTTCCTCCAGGACATTTATTTATCAATGAAAAAAAAAAGGTGAGGAAAGAGAAGACACAAGAGATAGCTTTCAAGCGGGACAGATGAACAAGTGGTGACTGGTGAAGGGAGAGAACGGAGAAGTAGTGCAGGGTGAGAGAGGGAGAATAAAATGTGAAAAAAGACACTAGTGATGATCTTAAAGTGATGAAAGTCAGAGATCTGTGTCAGGATTAACTGATATCCAGAGTCCCGTGTGAAGCTGCCATAGATGACGAGGACACGTAATAACAGGTGGGCGCAGCTGGAGAAGGAAGGCTGAACCTCAGAGAGTGAGCTGAAAATCAGCTTCCACTTTTGAGGATTTTTCTTCACAGCCACATAAGTGCTACTCTCTCTTGTCTCTCCTCACTCCCGGGTGTCAGAGACAGCATTCTACACTTAATTTGTTATGGCTCTCCCGCACAGTTTAACTCAGCCCCCGCAGCGCAACACATAATTATACTTAAAATATCCCAGGAGCAATCTAGCATGGGGCACAACAGCCTCACTAAACTCCAGAGAGCTCAGCTTGAAATACATCCAAACATAAAGAGCAACCTGTAAAGGTAATTACAGGTCTCTGCACTCTGGAATTCAACGTAAATATTAAACCCTGCTGTAAGTTAATGTACTCCACAGGAACGTTCACGTCTTTCAATTTGTCTCCTCTTTCCTGAGCAAACTCTCCTGCTGTCAAAATAAAACAGATAATAAATCTCCATATGCTATAAAAAGAGTTGTATGTTCATAATTCTGTAGACAATTATATACTGTACCACTCCATTTGGTTGAGGTATTTTCATGGTAGGAGTTAATTTGATCAGTATTGGACTGTTCATGGAAACTGCTCCATGGTAATGTCTCATGTTAACTAATGGATGCCTGCAAGATAATAAGAAACTAGTATTTTCCATTCTAGAAACCTGAGGCACATTTACACTACACTACAGTAGACGCACAACACTGTTTAACATTAAAGAAACTTTCTGTTGGTTTGGTTGGTTCTTTACCAAAATAAAACTACAATATAAATACTTTAATTTCAGACATGATCAGACTTCCTGTATTAATTTGGGGGAAAAAAATTACATCTCCATGGAAGCAGCAAGATGTGATCACAACCTGTGAAAACCTGGGAACAAATCTGAAAAAAATGTATTTCAATTATTTTTTATAGTAGCAGTATACTATGTATTACTAAGCATAGCCTGCCATTTGCTCTCTTAAAAAGGCCTGGCTATTCAGTCAGGTGATTTACATTAAAACTGTTTCATAAACCAAACTCATTATGACATTGGTTATATCTAATATTTAAAGGAAAGTTCAGTCTAATCATGAACAGGTAAACTACTCAGTCTGTGAACAGCTGAGCTTCCTTAAGTCTGAGAAAATGACTCTAACTTTTTTGAATCTGTCTATCAGGCCCGCAACAATAAGACAAAAAAAATAAAATAAGACAAACATGAAACTTAGATTTTCAATTTACAATAACAATGACCAAACAACCTTATGCCAATCTAAAGAGCGGTCTCTCCAAACACTCAAACAACCTGACGCCGGGTCCAGCTGAAGCCTACCTGAGAAGAGCTGCTTGGTGGGGGCAGAGATCTGGGCCTTCTTGGTGATGCGGTAAGCATGGTCGGGGCTGCCGGAGCGACGGGATGTGCAGAAGCCGGGGACTTTCTTCACACCCTCAGGGAGAGAGGGAACCTGCAGAGCCCGCAACACGTCCACTGGGTCTGAGGGGACAGAGAGAGAGAAGCAAGAGGAGAGACTTGTCATTATAGGTATGTATTTCAACAAACATCCCGTTAGAAGCGTTGCTCTGCACGTGACACTGCATTTTAATTCAGCGAGTGAACAAGCCCAGGAAATCATGGAATGATACACCTGTGAATTACACATGTTCATCACTGATCTCACTTGTTTCTGATGCTGTTAAATAATGGAAACCAAAGACACAACATCTAACATGTGAGTCCTGCTTCCACACACAGTGTCTGATTCCTCTTCTGGGCAAATAAGGCAAATCTGGGATCTTTGGAAACAAATTAAACCGATGAGACCTGTGTATTTCTGCAGGAATATAAAACTGATTAACAAAACAATTTATTAATTACACTGCAACAGGTTTCAAATATTTTTCTGGTGATTTCACCATCATCTTCTCTCATCTTCTCATTATGAAAGACTTTTTAAAAGCTTACTCCTAAACTTCTGTAATGTAGTAGTGACAGTCTGATCTTTCTCTGCACACATTCTTTGCATCAAAGAAAGTTTAATCTCGGAAGTGGAACTTAAATGTTCCAGCGGCATTAATTGCGATATAGGAGCAGGTATGTGTGATGTCCACAACGGATAGCACTGTACATGTAGGCATGATTTATCAGAGGAAGCACTGTGCCAGAGCAAATGGGCAACGGGCCAAGCCGCATATATGAACCACAGCGGAGCAGGTACAGTAAGGCTCAGTTTAAATCAGAGCGGAGACAGGGAACGCTATTCTGCTCACATTTATCAAGCCGCTGAAACAAGTGGCTGTTGAAGTGACAGTGCTGAGTCAACACACACACACACACACACACCTGATGTGCAGTACGCAGCCTAACATCACATAAACAAATCTACACAAACGCACACACACACACACACACACACAGAAACAGACTCTGTACCACCAGTTTCACATCCTGCCTCCAGTTTCACACGCTGAGGTCAAACAGTCTGTTCCTCCGCCCTCGGTCTGCGCTGCGGTTTACCTGGTCGGCTTTCTCACATTGCTCAAAGGCACTGAGTCAGTCCGTGGACTTCAGCTTTTAACTCTGTCAGCTCCCATGCTGCAACCAATACTGTACCGTAAAACAACGTGGATAAAAGGTTTTGCTCGTGTTATTAAATTCATTTCCCTAAAACGAGCTACTGAGCAGCTGATGGAAATGAAGAGGAGCAACACCGCAGAGGGAGAGGGGGAAGGAAAAAAGTGTTTGGGAAACAAACGTCCTGAAGGAACAGATCATTTTAGACATCATTTACACTTAGTTTGACATTCAGCACTTATTTTACCACCTCAAATGTCTAATTACTCACATGATCTGACTTGCAGAGGAGTATTTTGGTAAAATGCAGTGCTTAGGGAATGAGATGCCTGTTGAAACAGCAGCAGATCTGTGACAAAGGTCAAAGGTTAGGCTCAGCCTTGCTGCATGTTGTTTTATACATGTCCAAATCCTGCCTGTTGAGATAATTAGTTATTCAAAACTTGGCTGTTCAGTGTGTCTCTGGTGAAATGTTAACACGGCTCTGCATGATTAAAAAAAAACAACAACTTCTTTTCCTGTGGCTGCTGAGACGCAGAGACGTTGGTTACTCTGCTGTCTCATTCAAGATGGAACGACAAATTTCCCTTAATGCGAATTCTGCCGTGGTTTCAACACTTTTGTAGCCTGAGAACCCGAACCAGATGTAATCAAAAAGCCTACCTTACACAGTTACAACATCTTGCTGGATCCCCATGGCTTATACGTGAGGCAGCTATAAAGTTTAAAGTTTTCAACAAACACCCAGTAGTCACATTTTCCTGAACCTTATCCTCCCTCGGTCTTGGCTCGTCTTCCTGTGTTTGAGGTGCACCAGAGAGCTAACTCTGCTGTTAACAGCCAATTAAATTCATTTACAGCCAGCCCTGCTGTGGCGCTTCTCATAATAAACTTACGGTGGCAGTGATGCATTGCTCGGGTAAAAAACTGCAGAACGGATGAAAAGATTAAAAGCAAACCTTCCTTTGATGCAGTCTATGAAGTTACACCTTTGTTTTCATTTTTCCATTTAACAGCCACAATAATCATCTGCCAGGGGCTTAAAAAAAAAAAAAAGCATCATATTTAAAAAGAAATCATGTAATCGTGCCCATCTCAGCATGTTTAAAAAAGCACAATAGAGAATATAACAGCATGGCACTAGATATGAGGGATTCCTTTACCACTTGAGCCACTACTGCTGAATATGTGACCTACTGGGACATTGAGGAGTGTGAAGTAGGAAGCCACCAACAGTGTGCAACGCTAGGGGCTAATGCTGATGCTAATGAAAACACCATCATCTCCTGTCACACACACACGGACCCACAGTCTGAGACTCAGATCGCTCTATAATAAAAAAACATAAACTGGCTTGATCGTATTATGAATCTGACAGCACTGCATCATAACACCATCTGAATGTGCTTAATCACTAAATTGGCCTCCACTGTTGTGTTTCTGTGTGTTTTTGCCCTAAAATCACAGTGATCCCATCGGCGGTGCGGGTGTTTAGGTGACACCCAGTGTCTCAGAATTACCGGTTAGTCAAACTGGCCCACAGATGGTTATATTTATTCAGACAGAGCAAATGGTGCGTTAATATTGCCTCAGGGTGTCTGGACCACAGTCCATTAACGTCACTCTACACCGGAGAGAGAAAGAGGGAGAGGAGGGAGAGATGGAGCGAACAAAGACTGGAGAGAAGAGGAGGGTGTATGAGCAACGTGCACTGTAAGGGGGAGGGAAAGTGAGAGGTAGATTGAGCGGTATTGTGATGCTACATTAACCACCCAAAACAGAAACTTCCCTAAAAACAACAGCTTGAAGTCGGAAATGAACCGAGCGGAGAGATTAGTTAGTGAGAAGCAGAAAAGAGAGAAACGGGTCAAAACAGAAGTATGAGGAGGACAAGATGAAAAGAGAGAGAGAGAGAGAGAGAGAGAGAAATGAAGAGTGAGGGGGAGGAAGACAGATATTTATGGTTCTCTTTTAAAATTCTATATGATTTTCCACACATCAAAGTCTTGACTGGACGTGTGGGTTTTACAGAACACGTTATAATATTTAAAAAATGGACAGAACAAAAAAACAGGTTTCTTGCTTTTCCAGATTTGTGTGAAATTTTTTTTTTGTGACTTTTGTAGAGCCGCACAGGAATGCTGGGAATGAGACAGAGAAAGAGGAAGAGGGAGGAAAGGCAGAGGGCGAGTGAGAGCGGTTCAGGCAAATGTGGAGTGTGTGTGTGTGTGTGTGTGTGTGTGTGTGTGTGTGTGTGTGTGTGTGTGTGTGTGTGTGTGTTTTCGGGGGGTCAGGCAGTGACAGTAGACAGCGTGGTTCTGTGATGGCAGGATACTGGATCAGATTGCAGCCCGAGCTCCCCCAGTACGCCCAGTACAATGTGCCGCTCTGTTCTCCGCTGCCTGACCAGCTCACATCTGCAGCCGGGGCCCTTCCTGCCTGGAGGACCACAATCACGACGAAAAAAAACACACCCACAAAAACAACACGCAGGGCCGCAGAGGTAACACACTCACACAGCCCTGGCAGGGAAAAGTGCACCGATACACCTCGCGAGACGAGGAGTGGCAAATATGAAACTGGACAAGGTAGGAAAACAGACTGCCGCGGGGCACAAACTCCCTTTATTCTTCCTCTTCCCGCTCCGTCGGCCTTTCAGGCCGTAAGCGCTCACAGATGGCCGCGGCCTTTTGATGTGAACGCTGCCCAGTTACACCGCTGTCATTGAGACAGGAAACAGGGCTCTCAGGCACGTGAGGGAAGTTACGACCAGTGCTGTAGGTAAAGATTACAGTAGCCCATACAGTTATACCTGCTGACAGCTGCACTGGCTAAAGTCCAGTGAAAGAGACCCTCAGGACATTTGACACTGACAACCAGACTAATGTTCGTCTACCTTATGTTGAAGATTATACTTGATTGTATCTTAAATTACTCTATTATTGTACTGGGCAGACTCTTGTATAATCCTCCTGGTGTTTCCTTTCTGAGGCCTCTTTAGATTTTTATCTCATGGATTTATTTCAACATAAACAACTAAACTAAACTAAACTAAACTAAACTAAACTAAATTAAACTAAACTAAACTAAACTAAACTAAACTAAACTAAACTAAATTAAACTAAACTAAACTAAACTAAACTAAACTAAACTAAACTAAATTAAACTAAACTAAACTAAACTAAACTAAACTAAACTAAACTCTTCACCACTGGAGACAGTGATTGTGAGATGAGGTGTGCAGCCATATCTAAGTTGATGAATCATGTCGCAATATAATTCTGATGCTCAATGAAAACCTCACATCACTATTCAGAAACCTACAGGCGAAGTGACTTGAGTTCATAAACATACTTTGTCTATTCTGGTTTTCTATTTAATCCTTCAATTGATGTAACACATACAGCCACTAAAAACTGGGGTTGAACCCACATGGAATAATGAGATGCTGTGTGGTGTATAATGGAGCACTGTACTGCGGTGTGGATGCATTTCTTTTTTTTTTTCAACAGGTGCCCCATGACTGAAACAATCCTGTCACTGTTCCACTCTAACCCGCTCGCTTCCACACAACCACAACTGACCAAACATGCGGACCACCAGCTTATTACAGACCTGATAGGAAACATATGTGATGCTGGGGTTAGCAGTCACACTGTAAACTGAGGTGCGCTGCCTGAACTGCGACATGTTCCAGGGATGTTTGGATTATTTGAGTTCCCCTCAGCCGCCACTAGATGGAGCTAAAGCTGGTTTAATTAACGTGGTGACGGGCGGCACTGTGAAGAGAGGCACAGTCAAAGTCTGTTAAAGGGCTGGAGACACATGATGTTACACACACACGCACACGCACACAGGTGTTTACATGTACACACACTGTACAAACAGACACACACTCACGGGAAAGATAAACAATGCTCATGCTTACTGAAGGAGTAGATATTAAGCAGAGTCTACACTCTGTCA